CATTACGTTGTAAACAATTTCATATTTAACATGTAAACAATTTAACTTGTACTGAATGCATTAAGTCTTGCATTTTCATTTGTTTGTATAATTCTTATGCAGTCTCCGACCATATTATTACCAATAAGATGCATGATTTGTTTGTTAAGTCACAAGAGGCCTTTAAAATCTTGCCATAAATGAGAGCAAAGATTGGTTATACAAAGACATCAATTAGCATGTTGTAGTGCTGGAAGTTCACATATATCTGTGTGAATAATATTTCAAGCAATGCATGGTGACTATCTCATTATTGAAGAGACAGGAAGACTACGACCGAATATTACAACTTTTTATGATTAAGTTATAATTTTTTGGGTGTAAATTACGACTGTAAAAGACATAATCGATGTCAAAATATTATGATCAATCACAAAAGTTACGTCTTTTAGAAGTATTAATGACCGATCACAACATTTCATGATCGATCGTGATTAAATCCATTCAGTTGCAACTTCACTTTTAAAAGTTATAATTTGACCTATGAAAATAACTTCTGATTAAAAAAAAAATTCCAGTGCCACAGAGCTATCCATTGAAGAGAGGTGTTACCAACCAAATAGCTGCATTACAATAAGTCTTGTTTATCTAGCAACAATAACAAAACTAGGTACATATCGGTATGTAACATACGTACAACTACGAATAATAGCATTCCAGCAACTCCTTAAACATGAACAAGCTTGAGAAATAATAGTTTCTTAATGATTTGGACGAAACTGTGAAGTTTTGATGTTTTCAGAATGCATTTGTAGTCACCAGAACAACGTAAGGATTGGCTTCTACGAATACCCCAAGGCACCAAGCTCATACCTAAACATCTTCGATATCTTTTCAAATTAAGTTTCATTGATTCTCTTCTTTTGCCATACAAACAGGGCTGTAGTTGGCTTGCCATACAGATGCATGCCAACAAGAAACGGAAAGTATAAAATCTTAATAAGCCTTGCACAATACATAACTAAAGTGTTACAAGAACCACACCCCCATCCCCAACCCAAAAAAATATATATATTACTAAGCTCCATATCCAATCGTGACAAAAATGATTTTGAGTTCCACACTGTTGGCCCCAAGATCTCATCAAGCACATGGAACAAAACTCCGTTTCAAATTTTGTGGGTGAACCCCAAATGAGAAGTCAATGCTTCGACCATAGCACCAGGCTGCCTTTATACTTCAATCCATTGGTGTGAAATAACTAGAATTGTCAGCTCTTTAACCTGAAGACGGAATACCTACCTATAGTTGACTCAGATTCTTGTATCTCAGTCATGTCTCTCCTGATGTTTGTTTTCACTGGAAAGATTGTTATCTGTGGTGCCCACAGGAGCAACCGCTTCTTCCTAGAACAGTAAATAAAAAAAATGATCAGAAATTGCTTCAGCATTCATCAATTGTATATTTATAACATGAAGAGAGTGTGTGATAAGTAGGAAATATTTTTCCCCCATATTAAGCTCCATGTTATTTGATAAATAAATTGACAGCTTTTATACATAGCGATCCATGGCCAACAGTAAAGGAACCGACTTCTTGGCAGAAATGAATATCAATGTACCAAGTCATAGTATTCAACTGGAGAAGCTTTTGAAGGTGAAAGCAGAAAAATTGACATGATATCAACTGCCACTAATAAATATTGAAAATATGAATATACATATCTCATGCACCAGCAAGATAGACCATGTGACGCAATGAAGCTTTATCCCATCATTCCCAGAACTTATATTTTTAGTCCATTGCATCATGCACCTCCTAATTTAGTTCTTTTTCCATCAATTTTCCTTCACATTTTCTTCATAACTTTATTACCGGGTCAAACTATGTCAACCATGATTCCTGAGAGTAAGTGAAGAAAGTGACTAAACCACAGGTTCTATCCTTGTAGTGATTATCTTGCCCCATTTTTCTGCTGTTGTGTGTGTCCTACTATAAGCATGAAGCTCAGCAAGGACAAATAAGTAGCACATTAAAAGCTGGACACTGTTAACATCTTGATCCCAACTATACTACCCCGTTGGAAGTCTTTCAGGATCCCTGTCCATGATGCTTGCTTGTATTTTTTACTCTCACCATCCACCTACTGCAACTCTCACCTAGTTGGCTACTTCGGAGATAGATTGAAGGCCTTTATACCACAGAAAACTGCAACTGATGTCGTAGTTTAATCCAAAACTCTTCAGGGTTTTAAGACTCAAAATCATCTAATGCAGCCAGAGTGCAGCGCAAAACAAGCCGATCAACATCCTACAGCATGCATTAATTGAGATAAGTCTCGCTGCAAATCATGCATATACACTCTTTAATTTCTTTATCGCTGACTACCAAGCAAGATGTTACATCCTATGAATCTCAGGTACATAATTAAAACTTTGATAACAGAGAAAGACACTTCTGGCAAGCTTTCCTTTCTGGAATAGTAATATCAATGCACTTAATATTTTTATGATACTTTATTGAGGTCCACAAAGATAAACTTTGCCATGTCTAACAGTGAGCATGAGATTGCCTTAACCTGATCCCCTCTTCTGCATATGCCCAAAACTAATCTAGACTTATGCAGAACCATAATCATGCTTATGTCCATGACAAGTACAATTTGCAACCAGAATTCTCAACTCAAAGATAATCTCAACAGATCATGTCACTTACTAGATCAGGATAAAGATGACAAAAAAGAATTGCATGATAACACTAGTATCAATGCAGCTTGTGATATCCTATACAACCACAATTGAGATGCACACAGACCATTTTCAATACGAGATTTCGAAGAGTACCTTTTCTTGATTTTCATAGAGATGCTGACCATGATAACCATTATTGGAAGAACTGCCGATGGTAGTCACAGAGTTAATATTTTCGTTCCTAGAATTAGGTAACTCAGCTTCAGTTTTATCTTCCCTCTCAATTAGAGGTTCCCCATTTGCATTTTGAATTGCATTAGCTGCTGCCTCTTCAGCTTTCCTGTTTTCCTCCTCCTTTTGCTGTTTTCTCCTTGCCTCTTGCTCCTTTATCTGTTTAAACCTGGAAAACACCAACTGCTTGAGAAAGCAACTGTGGCCATACCAACAAATCAATAAGTTAAAAAAAAACCGTTGACTGCTGACCTTTCACCCGGACGGAGCCCCTCTGAAGACAACTTTACTTCTCTGGTCTCCTTTTGGGTTGTGGTAGTTTCAAAGATGGACTTTTGAATTTGAGATGGTTCTTCCTTAATACTATTATCACCGGCCTGCCTCAATGGATTTTTGGCACCTCCGAATTTTTGAAGCCACACTTGCTGTGCCGTGCTCAATATGTTATTTGTGAACCTTCATGAAACGTGTGTGTGGTATCAGGACATATTCATGGAAAATAAGGACAATAAAAAAATAAATTGCGTTAAATAAACAATAACAGAACACAGTTGAAACAAACTGCACTAGTATCCACAGAATAAGGAAGAGGGGTGATGCTCACCAATAAAGGGCTAGCCCAGAGGGAACCGAAAGAGCAAAATAACCTATCATTAAAGGCAGGAATTTGGTTATGGCTTGAGAACTCTTTAGGTTTGGATCATTAGCCTGGAAGTTCAAAGAAATGTTAAGTAACACGAGTGATAAAAACTAGCCTCAATTGAGTACTTCACATGTCATAAAGGCAAAAGGCAACATGGCATCTGATAACATACATCAAAAATAAAACTTAAAGATTGATCCCTTGAATGGAGTATCCCAGAGATATCTCTATAGTTTGTAGAAACACATAACGAGTTGGCACGTCAACTACCATAGTGAAATACAAAGATTGAATTGCAAAATAAAACCAGGGTAAAAAAGGCATGCAGGAAAATTACAAACTTAATGAAGCCTGAGTTTTAAGATGACGTAACATAAATACGTAAAAGCATGAAAAAAAAAGTTCTTTTAATTACAATTTAAAGTCATGCAAGGAACCTCCCTACCAGGAAACAGTAATCTAGACAATAGGTTGCTCCATCGATTTCCAACTTATTGAGAACTAGTTGATAGCCAATGGAGATGATGTCAACCTAAAACTGGAGCAGAAAATATGGTCAATCTTTTAATCCTGCGCGAATTATTTTAATTTCACTCTTCCTCAAGCTTATTTGTACCATATTAGAACACAAACAAGTTGAAAGGAAATGAATCACAGAGGAGATAAAGTAGACTATGGAGGTAATGGTCATGTACATAACACAGAGGAATGTGTCAGCAAGGACTCACTATGCTTGAATAGGCAGGCTTACACAAAGATAATAGTGTCTTTAAACACTCACAGTTACCCAAAGGACACTATGGTTTGGAATAATCTCCTAAAAGGAAATGCAAGTTACATGGAGCTATCACTTAAAAAAGGATACAGTAAAATCCACAAGCACACAGTTAAAGGAGTAAGAGAGCATAAGATAAAGTTTCAAATGTGGAAGGAGATAGTAAGACATTCATAATTCAAGAATACAAGAGAAATACACCTGCATAACTGACCTGTGATGATTGCATAATTTGTACAGAGAGGTACTGTGAGACAACAAGCAATACAGGCAAGACAAGATATGCCAGGGTATCTGACCATCCAAGGGGAGGATGACCATCCTGTGAAGAAATTCAAGCATCAAAGCGGAGAATTAGTTCCATGACATTTTAGATGAATTGTAACCATATTTCTACGAAAAGAAGCATCAAAAGTCAAATTCTCAACCTAGCACAAAAGTGCTGATCATATAAAATTTAAAAGAGAACTTTATCATTGGTTCAACGAGCTACGCTTATGTGAAAAGCAGACTGGCCATAATCAGCCTTGTTGCTTTATTTTCAGAGTTTGTAGCCAGATTGATTAAAATGTTCATAAAAAATACGGAGTGCAATCTCTGGTATGTGTACTTTTGACAAAAATTTATATTTTAGCTGAATTTGGAAACCATATAACAATAGAGAAACATCAAAATAATGGAAGGCCTACCAAGGATAAGATATCTCCAAAGTCTGCACGAATTAAAGCTTCCTCAAAATAGAAAGAAAGTTTAGATTTACGAAAGATACAACACTTACTACAAAAGGGAAGAGCCAGGAGATGCCACTGCCACTTTGTCGAGCAGCTATTGTGGTTGGACCAGCTAGAGAGGGTATCCAGAAGAAGCCTTCCGTCAGCAGTCCCTTTATATTACATTGAAACCAATGTCAGAGATGTTTCTATAGGAGCTGAGGGCTGTTTTTTCCTTTTTCTCATTTTGTGGGGTGAAAGCAGTGGAACTGACAAATTTTGTAAAGAAGCACAATCAACATGATGCCTTTTTACCTCATCCGCCACATTTGAAAGAGCTCTGTAAAGCCCAATCCATACTGGTATGGTAGCAAGAGTTGGCAGGCACCCTGGCACGCACCAAAAATAACCAACAAGCATACAAGAAAGTATTAGACTAACTTGAATATTTTGTTCACAGGCCTTGTTGTTTTGAATTTAAAACTGTGATGATCAGATCTAGCCATGCAGTGGTCCTCTCATTCATTGTCAAACCATGGGTCTCTGGTTTAGATACAAAATTGCTGTACCTAAACCAGAGGTCTGCCAACTACCATTTTATCTTCTTAATACGCAGTACACCAAAGCACCTCAGAGATAGACATCAGAGATATTCATTCATTGTGTGGAAGAAATGCATGATCAAATCCATGCACATGGAAACTCCAAAACTAGATAGTGTAACACTAGTACCTGCTAGCGGGTTTATACCAGCTAATTTATACAATCGAGCAGTTTCAAGCTGTATTCTCTCCTGAAAGCATATATAACTATATAAGTACCATAAATGATCGCTAAAATCGCAAAAAATCCCATCAATTGACATATTTCCAATCATTACTGGATTTGAAAAGAATAAATGAAGGAAACATCCAATACTGTACATAAATGAGGTTTTAGGACCATTTTAGGTCAATGGAGTCAAAGTAAATAACTTAAGTTTTTCTTTTTTAGTAATGCAAGGCTAATGACAAACTGAACAATCAATCTTCATTTACTTAATCATCCAACAAAGAAGCTTCTCTCATTATCGATTTCCACTAGAGCTTCTGCCCCATCTAAGCTGTAAAAGCAGCTGAAGTATCTCCTAGTTCCAATAGTAGCCTGTCTCTCCTATATGTGTGCTCGTGTGAGAGCACAGTTCATATGGACAATAATAAGACATTCACCAGACAAAAGGATGGAAGATAACCTGATCTCCAGCATACCGTTGCTGAATAGCCTTTATTTGAGGTTGCAAAGATCTCATTGCCATTGCAGATTCCACCTGCACATGAACGTTTTGAAGACATTTTAGGTCATTATGAATACAACCTCAAAAAAGGATATCCTGTACAACACTCCCATGAATTTCACCAAACTTTTTTTTAGTAAACAACATAGCAATAAAGAAATTTAACCTGCCAGTGGGCCAGAAAGTAAGAATTGAACCTACTATCCATTTAAATGCAGTAATTGTATGAGAGAAGGAGATAAACCTGTTTCTTTGACAAAGGAAAAGTGGCAGCCTTCACAAGCACTGTGAGGAGAATAATTGCAAAACCGTAGGCATAGGGAATATGTAAAGTTGAGAGACCGTCCTTCAAAACCTGAAATCAATACAGCTATCTGTTTCAAATCCCAGATGATCAGCCACACATTACAGTATGACTGGAAAATGTAAGAATATAATTTCCCACAAATTTCAAATCCCACTAAACCATGGTTCCTCGATCAGACTTTTCCTCATCCAAAAAGCTCAAAAAAGCTGTTTTGCATCAAAAAATAAAATGCATGAAGCATGAGGAGCCCTTCTCATTAGCTAAAATCCCCCGAACCCGCCAAATTATATACTAAACTAATTGCAGGCTTACCTCCCAAAGATTGGTAAATAGAACCTTCTATGTGTGATTACTCTAGAGGTGTTTAACAATTGGCTTCTGAACACTCATTTCTCTAACTTTTACTAAGTGGGTCGCCTCATAATTATTAGTTTTTATAATTCCTAGAGTATCCAATATTATTGCAATTGCAGCATCAATCACACACATAAAATGCAACTCGAACTACTGACAAAAAATAGCTGTAAAAAATCGAAACTTTCGCATACGAACCTTAAGAACAGTCTCCATAGAATTGGTAATCCCAGAAAGCCAATCATTATTCTGCTTGGCAGCGGTCGTGACGGTATCCGAAGAACCCGAAACGACGGCATCAGCAATTGTGTAAAGAAAACCTTCTGCTCTGCCAAACAGGTCCTTAATTACCACCTCCGCACCATCCGAATCAGCAAAAGGAACCTGGCCTAGCCCCAACCTGGTTATACCCAGTGTGCCTCGAAGAAAGGGCTTGTGATGTGATAGATTGCCAAAGTGGGTTCGGTGAAAAATAGGGTTTAAGGTTCTGGTTCGGTCATGAATTGGAGAGAGAACGAGGTTGGTTCCAAGAAGAGAGAGAAAAGTGGTCATAGCTTTTGTGGGTTTTGCAAATCCTAGGTTGCTGCAGAGGTGAGTGAAGAGGTTTTACGGTGTGATGATTATGGTGAAGGTCCGAGTGTTCATTGCTTGTACATCTTAAAAAAGGGGAAATTGGAGAGGACAGTTGACGTCGAAGAGAGATACCTTTGTGCAATTGTGCTTGTGGGTGAACCTTCGTGGTGTGTGCGTGTGGGAGACAGAGAGATTCTCAGACTTGGTGACGCATTAGAGTCCAAGTTTCACGATTAGCAATTTGGTGGCTGTCATTGACCCCTTGTAGTTGAAGGGAGGGTTCTTAATCGAACTCGAACTCACCAATTCGAATTTGATTTGAGTTTGGGAGTTTGGGTGGGGTTCAACTCATTTAAGTTCGGTATATTTTTTAAATGAGTTTGAATTTAATTTTTTTTTAAATTTATTTAAAAAATAAATCTTATAAGTTCAGCTCAAATTCGACAAATTCAACTTATTTTTAGTTCGTTCAAACTCGACTCGTTTCTTAAACAAATCGAACTTGAACCATTTTTTAAACTCTATTTAAAAACTAATTTTTCAAACTTGACTCGAACTCGATTTGAGTTTGTTCGACTAACAACCCTAATTGAAAGTGCGCATAAATTAAATTAGTGCAAATATTTTGACCGTTAAAATATATATATGAAAAGAGTCGGCTCCTTATTGCCTATGTCATATAGATTACAGAATGTGTTTCTTGTGTTTTCCATTTCTTACATCACATTTAGGCATGTGATGTGAATGTTCAAAATAAATTTGAATTCAATTAGTGAAGTAGGTATTAATATTTTTGACTAATTGTCAGAATTTGTGATGTTATGATTATGGTATGGATTTATAAATATCTAATATGAGCTTTCTAACTTATATGCACCTATAAAATAAATTTATAATCAAATTGAATGACTGTTGGTTGAAATTGATTTAAAATTCAGATTTAATTTACTAAAATTTAATTCTTATGGGCTTTTTTGGATTTGATCAAATGTTTACTTTTTAACGAATTCAGGTATGGATCGTGAAAATAAATTTTGATGGGTCAAACTCAAGGGGTCAACTCTAAGAGGTTCAGCTAGTCAAGTCCAAAGGAGTCTGCATCCAGTCAAACTCATCAGGTTACAGGAGTTATATCAGTAGAGGAGCACACAGAATCGTCTAAGAGCTCATCGATACCACCTTAAAAATAGTCAATACCCCTGTCATCCTTTGATCAAGTCTCATGGAGAGCACCTCAATTGCTTCGCCCGTTGAGAAGAAGTAACCAGTTCTACCAGAATAGTTATTTAGTTGCTATTATGTCGCTCCCAATCTGTTAGGAGACGACTATAAATTATAAGCCCCACCAACATTTGGGGGGCATGATCACACTCAATTGAGCACAATTCTCCTCTCCCTACACTTGAGTTAATAAAATATCCGACAATCCTATTCATTCAAAAGTGGACATAGGTCACGTTGACCGAATTACTATAATTTTTGTCTTCTCTCTTTACTGATTAATTACTGCATTTATTACTGATACTTGACAGGTGATATACAAAGTCAATTTGTGCATCATCAAATTTTATCAAATATTTAAATTAGAATTTTAAAATTAAATTTAGATCAGATTGAGTCAATCTTTAAATCTAACTCGTTGACAAACTTAATTACAGTGGGGGGGGGGGGGGGGGCAAAACCAATTAACTATATCTGTTATCCAACAGGTATCTTACTTTTATTAAAGATGACCAGAGGAAAAAACACCCATTCCAGTACTTCTTGTTTTTCAGTGAAATTTTTTAAATTAATTTAAGTTATGATNTTTAGGTTTTTTGTAAGTAATTTGGCAAATTAATTATTATTTTCTGATTGGTGTAAATGATATTTTATTGAATAACAAAATGGATTTCAAGTTTAAGTTATTGCTACCTCCATGTTTGTGTGCTTTTTTGGGAATAATTAAGGAAGGGATAAGGAACTGTGGTGGGGGTATGCAACATGAGGTCCAAATCTTACCAATCACACCCTTTGGATAAGAGAACAATCTACAATACACAATCCTATTGGTTCACCTTGCCTTCATTTCTATATTCCATTTTTGCTATCAAACTCAAACCACCAAGCCTATCTCTCTGCTTCTGAGTTTTGAGTATTTCAGTTAAAGCAAGCACCAATGGCAGCAACCATAGCAACAATGGCCATGCTCAATGCCAAGTGCTTGAGCACCAACTCACCCAAAACAGTCAACCCCTCCAGGCCAACCACAAAACCCATCTCTCTTCTCTCCATCCAAAACCTCCCAAAAGGCCTCATTACCCAAAATCCATCTGAGAACTCCAAACTCTCAGTATCACTGGCTGGTACCGCCGTCGCCGGAGCGATTTTCTCCACCTTGAGTTCATGTGATGCTGCTTTTGCAGCCCAACAAATTGCTGAAATAGCAGAAGGTGATAACCGTGGTCTCGCACTTTTACTTCCGATCATTCCAGCCATTGCTTGGGTGCTATTCAACATCCTGCAGCCAGCTCTTAACCAGATTAACAAAATGAGGAGCACCAAAGGGGTCATCATCGGGCTCGGGCTAGGCGGCTTGGCTGCATCAGGGTTCATGTCCACTCCTCATGCATCAGCCAGTGAGGTGGCCATGATAGCTGATGCTACAAATGACAGCAGGGGACAGCTTTTGCTGTTTGTGATCTTTCCCGCTATTCTTTGGGTTCTCTACAACATTCTTCAGCCAGCTTTGAACCAGATCAACAGAATGAGATCTTAGTGATAAAGATCTTTAGGGTGTGATGGCTTGTACTACTTGTAATTTCACCTTGTGTTAATGAACTTTTCCTGGAACAACTTTTCTGGGGTCACTCAAAATTTCAGTAGGATTACTTTATGTATAATTGTATATCAAAGGCCAAGGTCTATATATATATTTTAATAGTTTACTTTCTTTTACAAGTTTTCTACTATAATGTAGGATGTAAAATTGTTGATAACTACATTGGAAATTTTAACAAAAAGAACTTTTAGCAAGAATTATCTTGATGTATTCTTCTCATTTGTACTCACTGCTACATCATTCTCATGTCTTATCGAAAATATGGAGAGGTTGCAGGGGCTTGCTAGGTGGTGGCGGACAAACAGGGTGGAGAGAGAGAGAGAGAGAGAGAGAGAGAGAGAGAGAGAGAGAGAAGAATTAGATGAGAGTAAATTCCAACTTTTTAATGAAAATTCGATAGCCAAAAGTAAAGCCTCCCTATGATGTGTTGATATGCATGGGCTGTCTTAAAAACTGGATCGGCAATAACCGAAATAGAATCGTCAAGCCTAACTTCAACAATGTTCCAAGGATGCAGATTCATGTTATCAAAGTTGAGAAGAACATCATAGTACACCATAATGGCAAACTGAAATAAGCATCAAAGGACTTTTCATTAAACAAAATATGACAGTTAGAACTACATGAGTAGATTTTGCAAGCTGAAAATTATCTGATCTACCAGCCAAACTGCTTAGAGCTAGCTGGTTATGCAAGCTGAAAACTGCTAATCAAATGAAAGTAACAGAATACATTCTATTCTTTCTTCCTCGAATCTTTTAGTTGTCTCCTCTTTCTAATTCCGAGGCAGAATTTTAGGCGCCATGCATCGACAGCAAACACAGGCAATGAGTAAACCATACCCCAGATAAGGGAATGGGGCCAGTATGGTGTGCAACACGGTTCAGAGCCTATCCACCACAACGCAGCCTGTGCATAACCAGTTGACGATGGAACAAAGAAAGAATTTTTCTTGATTGATGCAAGTTTTGTTGCCACGTATAATGGAACCTGCAAACGACATTTATAAAACCAAAATTAAAGCAATTCAACATGCGCACAATTCTGTGAACTAACCATTGTCTCAAATACTTTAGGCTGGATACATTGGATTGGACCAATATAATTAAGGCAGCATTATATCTGAATTTCAAATAGGAATTTTCTTGCATATTGGACTCAGTCAGGCTAATTCCACAGGAAAGACCATTTCCACAACTAGTAAGAACTAAGAAGGGGTGGCACTTTGCAGGATGCCAGTTGACTGATCCGTAACTTGAGAAATGTAAATGGAAATAGTGAAATGCTCTAAATAGCACGGAACAAGCAGCACAAGACAACTACTGCCATATACTTAAAACCGCAAGGGATTCATCAATAGGTTGGGGAGTATCTCAAACCATGCAATATAGAAACAGCAACAGCTTTATAGCACCAAACACATCAGCTTATCAGTAAATAAGAAGAAATAATGAATTCCTAAAGCTAATTGACTGATGTTATTGGCATGCCTGCCATGCAGTATCTGACTGTCCCAATGTTCAAGTGCTCACAAAGTATGTAGCACCTAGAGGCAATTAAATAGAATCCTCAAAAAAATTTACCTCAATATTCCAATGGTCCACAGATATACTATTCAATCAAACACTCCAGGGGAACAAACTCTAATATTTGAAGAAACACAAAACTCGAAAGCAACATTTACAATGCAAATCAACGTTCGAATGAAGTGAGTGCCTTTGTCACATGAGAGGAATGCAAAGTAGAAACAAAGTTCAGGCTTGATGCATATGATAGTCGTAGATAAGAAAGTGCTGTTATACACAGATTCCTCACAGAACCATCACACTTATCAAACATGTTAATGCTATTGATCATGTCCAATCTTGAAGATTCCACCTTAATTGTTCTAATCGTACTCTCTTTTTCCCCTTGTTTATATCAGTCCGTTTTAATTGTATTCTACAAAAAGACACAGTTAAGGATTCCATACAATGTGCTTTATCTTGAGTTGCAATAATCAGTGTGCTTAAAATTAGATAACAAAAGTCAAGTCGAGATTTCAAACTAATACGGTGCAAAATGATCTGAAAAGTGGTTAAATTCTTGACACTGAACATCTATCCCGCTATTCTTGTATTCCAACGTTCAGTCCTTCAATGGCTTCTTTAATCTTCTTAATATTCTCAGAAAAATCGACAGAAAAATCAACGACGACATTTTTTATCTGGGTATTTCCAAATTTTGACAGAATTGAACCCGAAACATCGATGAGTTTATCGGGATTTCGACCTACCACTATCAAGCTTAGCACTTTTCGAGCCAATTCAAAGGCAAAAGCCTTTCCAATGCCATCAGTGGGACCTGTCACCAGTGCCAAAGACCCGTACTTTTTTAGATTCTTTGGAGGTCTAAGAAAATTAACATAGACCCATTTGCAAAGAGCAATGGAAGATTTCAAAAACGATAAAGAACCCAATCAAAAGATCAAAACAACGTGACCTGGAGAAAAGCTATTGCATATTTGCTTGGGGGTTGGTAGAGTTAGCTAAGATATTGACTGGGAAGGGACTGAGTTATCGAGGAAAACAGAGGAGTCATTGAGTTAATTCGCGGGGAGAAAAAGGGGGGGGAGGGATCGGAGAGAGAGAGGGAGGGATAAGTGGGGAAAATTAAGTAGAGTCGATGTGAGACGTAGGACTAAGAGGTGGTTGAAGCTGATGAGCTGAAAACAGCTGCAATTTGGCGAACTACAAAACACATGAGACGGTTGACGCAAACTCAATTCGAAAATACCACAATCTGTTAGTACCAATAATAGAATATGTAAAGTTAGTATCAAATACAAATAATATTGACACTATTAAGAGATTTAATTAATATTATATGAATAAAATATCAAACTTTTATTTTTATTTTGATCAATCATTAACACGAGTCCTTATAAAAAAATAGAATTTTTACATGTTTTTACTCTTATATAAATTGAGTAGATTTTTAGTTTATCTCAAAACTAGGAATATGAGTTTGATCGAGAGATAATGAAATTTTTATTTTAATTTTTTGATTCACGATATGAGAATAAACAATCCAAGTATTATGACATCATATACAATTGCTTAAATGAATTAAATTAAAATTAACTACTATTCGACACAAACTGCACACAGTTCAACTGGACAAAATTGGCAAACCTACTACCAACGCAATCAATCATGGGTGTCTGGTGTAATAGGCTAAAGGCTTATGGGAAGAACTGCTGGGAAGAGCTAGCCAAGGCTAAAGCTAGACTAACCTCTTTTCCCCCACAAAATAAAAAGCCAATCGTCAAGATACTTTGATCACTATGCTGTAGCTGCAGTGGCCATATTAGGTTGGAACCAATCTGGTCTTTGGCCTGTTAGTCCTAGCTACTCTATGAAGAAAAGGAGGGAAGGGTGGGTGCGTATGCGCTAGGAATGGGACTTTATTGTTCAAAAACATAGGACACAGAACATGAAAATACTGATGCACTATGGTAAGCTACCCACATGAAAATTTAGAGTTTGTTGCCAAAGCAGAGAAGGCTGAAGGCACCCCCCATAAGAAAAGACAATGTGACGAGAGTGGCTTACTGTAATTCTCTTGTACTGTGTCCATTGTGAATATGCGCAAACTTCAACAATCAACGTGCACTGTATATGCGGCACGCCTGGCACATCCTCCTGCAATACAGAGCAGGAGGTTGTCGATCCATCTCACACAAGCGATGCCTTGGCACGTAGGTGAACCTATGAATGCAATCAGAGCCTCATGCTCTAGGGCGCCTTTTAGCAGAACCTCTTAATGAGTAAAACGCAGATCAACAGAGTGCAAAGGCTTTTAGGACACTCAGAAGTCAGTACAATGACATTTACAGAACGTCAAAGCTGAAGTCATCTTTGTGTTGACCATGGCAAATCATAAGTTCTCATGAGAGTAGAAAGTTTACATGAGTCATTTTGGATACAAAACCTTCATGAAGCCAAACCGGAACAAGTTCTACATTACATTGTCTCATACATGTTATTTAAACTGTCTGAAAAGATAAGTAAAAGCTAATATTGGCGATAAGCCAGTGTTTTGATCCTCATGAATCCTCGAGTAGAAAATGATACAGTGGAGACTCAATTTCCAGAAATAAATTTTTTGATATAATCCTGAAGTATTCCTCGAGTACAATTTTATAAGTATCACAAATACAATTTAGTACGTTGTTATTCTTTTGTGATAATCTGTTAGAAGTTTTCTTACCACACTCTATTCACATTTGAGGGTCGCCATATTCTCCCTGTACACAAGTCTTCTCATTTACTCCGGATCATATTAGGTATTCATAATGCATTAAGAAATGGTCATCTGGGTAATCTTTAGGCAGGTTGTTCATGTAGAGGTAGAAATGGAAGAGGTCCTCCTTCAAAACTATGTCAGCATCAACCACATCATCACTACAAGTGAGAACCCATAAATCTCGTGACTTCACTCTCTTCAAGCTACCTCGACAAAAGGGGCAGGACTCTGATCTTGTGTTCCTGCAAGTCGAATGGAGTTCAGCAAGACCATAATAAGAAACATTTTGTTCAACGTCAGACATTCAAACTAGACTGAAAGGGAAAAATGAACGGTTGGATCAGTTGAACAATCTGTTGCATGGTTAAAAAGCAACACCAGTCAACGTAAAATGTCTTAAATGCAGAACAGTGCAAAATTTGCATGGTTGATTGAATACTTCAAGATCTTCATCCATGCTTTTTCATGCACTTTTCAGACTTTAGCCAAGTTTTCATCAAATTCGTACTTGTCTTAATTTCAGATAAATCAGACCATCTTCAGTAATTTATTTATTTGTTCTGGACTCCAAATTTGATTAGCAATATTCATCTTCCAGTTAACATATTGTTTTTAGGTCTATTTTACTACAAATAAGACTGTAAGCCACAAGGCAAAAAAAAAAAAAAACTATGAGCAATTACTCACCAATCACGATAGCAATTGATGCACATCGCATGACAGCAACTAGGCAANTAATGAGTAAAACGCAGATCAACAGAGTGCAAAGGCTTTTAGGACACTCAGAAGTCAGTACAATGACATTTACAGAACGTCAAAGCTGAAGTCATCTTTGTGTTGACCATGGCAAATCATAAGTTCTCATGAGAGTAGAAAGTTTACATGAGTCATTTTGGATACAAAACCTTCATGAAGCCAAACCGGAACAAGTTCTACATTACATTGTCTCATACATGTTATTTAAACTGTCTGAAAAGATAAGTAAAAGCTAATATTGGCGATAAGCCAGTGTTTTGATCCTCATGAATCCTCGAGTAGAAAATGATACAGTGGAGACTCAATTTCCAGAAATAAATTTTTTGATATAATCCTGAAGTATTCCTCGAGTACAATTTTATAAGTATCACAAATACAATTTAGTACGTTGTTATTCTTTTGTGATAATCTGTTAGAAGTTTTCTTACCACACTCTATTCACATTTGAGGGTCGCCATATTCTCCCTGTACACAAGTCTTCTCATTTACTCCGGATCATATTAGGTATTCATAATGCATTAAGAAATGGTCATCTGGGTAATCTTTAGGCAGGTTGTTCATGTAGAGGTAGAAATGGAAGAGGTCCTCCTTCAAAACTATGTCAGCATCAACCACATCATCACTACAAGTGAGAACCCATAAATCTCGTGACTTCACTCTCTTCAAGCTACCTCGACAAAAGGGGCAGGACTCTGATCTTGTGTTCCTGCAAGTCGAATGGAGTTCAGCAAGACCATAATAAGAAACATTTTGTTCAACGTCAGACATTCAAACTAGACTGAAAGGGAAAAATGAACGGTTGGATCAGTTGAACAATCTGTTGCATGGTTAAAAAGCAACACCAGTCAACGTAAAATGTCTTAAATGCAGAACAGTGCAAAATTTGCATGGTTGATTGAATACTTCAAGATCTTCATCCATGCTTTTTCATGCACTTTTCAGACTTTAGCCAAGTTTTCATCAAATTCGTACTTGTCTTAATTTCAGATAAATCAGACCATCTTCAGTAATTTATTTATTTGTTCTGGACTCCAAATTTGATTAGCAATATTCATCTTCCAGTTAACATATTGTTTTTAGGTCTATTTTACTACAAATAAGACTGTAAGCCACAAGGCAAAAAAAAAAAAAAACTATGAGCAATTACTCACCAATCACGATAGCAATTGATGCACATCGCATGACAGCAACTAGGCAAGACTATTTTGATGCAAGGCTCTAAGCAAATCCCACATTCATCTTCTCTCCCCGAATCAACATTGGCAGACCCATTCTCCGCATCCATTCTGTTTCTGCAAATAGTTTCCATGCCAGGATCCTCACCTTTAGCCTTATCCGGCTCCACTAAGCTGAAATGCAGCCGCCGAAGAGATGGCAATATAATGGCTGCAATGAGATTTTTGTTGAAGCACACACATAGTAAGATTTAATGCATAGCCAGACAGGATAATTTTCGTTTCCCAACATAAAAGAGCAAAGAATTGAGTAAATTCACAAACCATAGAAGTCTCTAATAGTTGCTTTCCTTCCATGTGTAGATATGTTTGGTCTCCCATCTGTGTATACCTGTAAACAGCATAGAGAATGTTTAACTGACCCAAATGCCTGGAAAACAATCCACTAAAACCATTTAGTAATATTCTACTTTCAAGTTTAAACAGGTTCCTATTTGGTTGTCAAAAAAAAGAGTGGGAATGAAAGGAAAAAAGAGAGAAATAAAAAATCTTCAACTGTGCTAGTAAAAAGGCTCAATTTTGAAAAATAAAAAACAGAACCGAATTAACAACATTTGGAACTGACCTTATACACAAGTATGTGGAAAAGATTTAGATAGTTGGGAAGGAGACATGTGCAGGAACAATCCATCCATTGGAGCAAAAACAAAAAGAGGGGTCCCAAGGGATTGTAAACCAATTTCATCTGAAGCTGTGCCCCACTCTTTGCTCTTGGAATTGCAGTGGCTCTGCAAACCCACAGATTACAGAACTGTGAATTAGACGAAAAATAGTATCCCCCATTTGCGATTTAATTTGGTCACACTATTAAACAAAATAATGTTAGTCTCAGCGATTGAAAACAATCACAAATGGACTTTTTGAGCCCCAAACCTGCTCAGAAATAATGAAAAACAAAGTGCAAAAAAAAGGGAAAAAAATTACGCCCCACACATCATTTTCAAACACCAAGAAACTGTCAAAGCATCTTATGCGGGGTGCTGTGTAAAGCTTTCTAGCTTTATTTCATATTTAAAAGTCCTAGGCAGCCAAAAACACCCAAAAATTAACAAGATTTTCTGCACAAGAAACAATTGCAATCTTGATATTAATTGTAATTCAGGTGAACAAGTAGCTAGACTAGAAGAGGAAACCAAATCCCCAAATGGGTACATTTGGTTATACAAAATTTTGAATTATCCAAACTGCATAACACATATGAAGAATACAGGAGCCACCATAGCAAGAAAGCATAGCAATATGTTTAAACAGTGAGACACTGTCAACGCGTCCCTAAGAACCCGTACATCTTAAATTATAGGAAACTAAATTATTCTAGCGGTCATGCTGTGTAAAGCTCTTAGCTTTATATAATATCTTGAAGTCCTGGGCAGCCACAAACAGTACCAATAATTGAAATCATTAACAATCACATAAAAATGAACAACATTTTTCAAGAAGCTATTGCAATCTTGATGTCAATAGTAATTCAGCTGAATTAAGTAGCTAAAATAGACAGAGACAATGAAACCCCAAATGGCAAATGGGTACCTTTGTTTGTACAACTTTTGGAGTTACTCAAACTGCATAGTACACATGCAGTAAACAAGGGCCACCATGGAAAGAAAGCATTGAGTACCATATTTTCCTTCAATTTTTTTGTTCACTGAGTTGCAATTATGAGGATAATCATATAAAATCAAAGAACCCAGAAGACAGAAAACTATTACAGCCAACAAACACACAAATATAGGAACAAGTAAGAGCAGATAAACAAAAAAAAAAATGGAGCAAACCCATAAGGAAGAAGGAATTAAAGGTGAAGGGGTGAAGGAGGAACATACAAAGCATTGGCATGTTGTATATCAGCCTCCAGAACTTTCAACGAGTCCTGGTAAGAAGACCTCGCCAGCTGGTAATACATCATCTCCATCTTCCTTTCTCTCTCTAAAAGACAACTCTCTCTGTCTATAGCTATTGTTAAAATAATTAGCAGAGAAAACAAAGAATACAGAAGAAGAGCTCTTGCTTTCACAAAGATATGTAAACTGCGAGGAGAACTACTGAAGTTTGGTTCTTGAGAAATGTTTTGCTTCTCCCTAATTTGCTTGCTTTTATCTTTTCCGAATATGAGTATGATTGAGTTTGGGAGAATTTCGCTTTGTAGTCTAAAATATTTTTAAAAATTAAAATTTTTATATTATATTCTAAATATATTTAAAATATTATAATTTGGGTACTCAGTTAACTCTCGTTAATGTCAATAAGATAATTTTTGATACAATAAGCAACATAAATTAATAATAAAGTCATTTGAAATATTTTTAATATATTAAATATGAAATATAAAAAATTTAATCTTTAAAAATATGATATAATTTTTTTAAAAAAATTATTCTGGGTACAAAGTGTGATTCCTGCTTTTAGTTTTCTAGGTCAGACAAAAACTAGTGGTTGGGTTTGTTACAATGCCTTTGTTGTCATCATAAGGATGCCTTGTGGTGGTTGGTTGGTGGCCAAAATTTGTTATTTGTAATTGTCATAATTCAAACAATTATTTACAGTATGATCTGTCTCATTTAATGTAAAACAGCTGTAGTAATTTACTAACCACATCATATTTTTGGAAACTTTTTTTTAAGGCAAAATATTTTAGTTATTTACAACTAACTTGTTTGTTTTGTTTTTGTTTTTGTTTTTGTTTTTTTTAAAAAAGAAGTGTATATTACATTGTAGATATAGTGGTTGAATTTAATGATAAAAGTTAGGTGTGGTGATGCAAAAGTATTACAAAAATGGTTTTTAAATCCTTAATTATGGGCATGGCAGTTAGATAAAGAACTTGTTTATAATATAAGCATACTACTATTTATGTGGTAGATGAAAATTTAGTATTCTTATACAAAGAATCCTATTAAATTGAGATCAAAATCATAATTAATTTTGATTGCTATTCTTGACGTTACAATTTACATAAAAGACATCTTTAATATTAAGATTTGGGTATCCCGTGTAAATGTATTTCATATGTGTGCAATTTAATTTTCGCTAAGAGTTATTTAAATTATTTTTTTGTTTATATTTATATATTTCGTGATAAGTTTATAATAAAATTTTTTTAGTAATTGAAAGATTACGTAAAAATATATTCAATACTTCAACGATTAAAATGATATAATTAAAATATTATGGACTAAAATATGACAAATTATATATTTTAGACCTGCAATACAACTAACCCTTTGTTATATATACATGTTTGTTTTTTAGGTGCAATAGTCCCATGGTGCAAAAAATGTGAAATTTTGGAGCAGAGTAGCAAAGTCAGACTTGGAAACAAAATGCAACCCAATTATGGCTAGGAGTTTAGCAAAGAAAGAAATGAAGCAAAAGGTCAGCAGCCAGCAGGCCATCAAGACGAGACAGAGAGAGAGAAGATATCCCTTTCTGTTACAGCACTAAGCAAACGGCTCTTCATGTATCTTTCACTGTCCTCTTTATTAGCTCTTCAAAACCCTCACCACAAAGCCTTTCCTCTTTTTTGTAATTTATTCCCTTCTCAAAATTTGAAAGGGTGAGAATAAATGTGGCGGATGGAGACCCACGAATCTTCTTTCAGAGAATCTATCAAAGCCCTTGAAGCTGATGATTTTCAACATGCTAGTAATAGCCTGTAAGCTTTCTCAAAGTTGTTTTTGTACTTCCATATTCCCTTTTGTGATATTCCACTATGATGTTCAAAACCGAAAATTCATAGGACCCATTTGATTGAATTATCTTTATCTCCCGTGTTGTTTAGCACTGATCATGTAACTAAATATATTTAAGGTGATAATGATAGCAGTTGGGTTTATGATTATGGTAATGAGGTGTTATTTGGCTATCATAAGGTGAAGTTGGGAAAATTAACTACAAATTTGGTTTTAAGAAGAAAAAAAAAGGGATAAGAAATGGTTGAAGATGAGATTTTGTGTCTGCTACAACTCTTTCTACCATCCATTTTACATCCTCCTCAAATCTCCCACACTTGGAAAACCTGTATTGAGAAAACACAATCAGAATCATCGTCTAGATTATTGAATGTTTTTTCTAGGTAATTTTTCTCTATAGATGTTCCTGCGTATTATGATTTTCATTGCAATTAAGAAGTACTATCAGAAAATCAGTTAGATTTCTATGTAATACTTCTAACATTCCTCAAGATGGTATCTGAAAATCAGTTTAGATTAATGCTTGAGAGATCAATAATGAAAGCTATATAGTTTGGAGGCTAATGGAAAATTATAGAGAAAAAAATAAGGATTTTCATGTGGTTTTATTGATTTAGAGAGCACATATGATATAATCCCTAAAGATATATTATTACGGTGTGTTTTAGAAAAGAAAAAAGTTAATATTAGTTATATTGATGTGATTAAAGATATGTATGAAAATGTGGTGACTTTAGTAAAAACAACAGTATGAGAGACTAATGAATTCACAATCAGTATATGCTAATATTTTGACTTTGCTTCGAGTTCATATCTTTTTGTCTTGATTATGGATGAACTAATTAGACATATTTAGGATAAACTCCCACGGTGTATGTTCTTTGCTAATGATATAGTGCTAATTGATGTATGTAAGGAAGAAATTAATAATAAACTAGAAGTTAGGAGAGAGGCTTTAGAATTAAAAGTATTTAAGATAATTAGAATTAATACTAAATTTAGGGAATGCAATTTTCGTAAAAAAATAGAATCTAAATTGAGAAATAGTAAATATTCAAGATCAAGAGATACTAAATATTGAATATTTTTGATATTTGGGGTCCATAGGGAGTGTTAAATTTGTGTCAATAGTACTCATAAAATTAAAGAAGGATGAACTAAATGAAACATGGTGTGTGATAGTCACATACCCTTTAAGCTAAAAGAAAATTTCTATAAGACTCCCAAATTATAGTTGTACGGATACCCTCCCAAATTATTTAGGCTTCCTTCACATACTTATATCCAAGCTGGGACTTTTATCTCATTTTGCTTCTTATTTCTATATGAATATAACTCCAAGCAAATCTGGAAGGTTCACCAGTTTTTTTTACTATGTTTATTAATTTCTGCTTCTCATTCCTTTCTAATTATACGAAAAGACCATATAAATTTTTTTATTAAATATATAGTTATATATTGATGGAATGCCGACTATTCTATGGTCTTTTCTTTTGTTCATATGCTTCTTACTTGATGAAACCTTCACTTTCCTGTTTCCCGCATTTTCTCTTCCTTGGATGTTCTTTCATATACTCATTTAAATAGAAACTTATTTCAGCTGTTATATATACTTCACTTCAGCAACTCGAAGGTGGCCTCGTAGAAACTATGGAATACAGTAAAAAAGAGCTCAATGATCTGAACTTTTTAGTGGGAAGAGGATGGTGGTGAAGTGGAAGTTCTCTGATAAAGATCCTGAGAGAGATGATGAATGCAGGATATGCATGAAAACTTGTACCAAGTTGATACTGCCTAATAGTGGACACTCCATGTGAATTAACTGCTTCTGTGATTGGTACTCAAAATTCCTGTTTTTACATATTCCGTTGTTGCTATTTCCTCATTATAATTTCATCTTATTCATATGCAGGACATGTATGTGGTGTCGCAGGAATGTGTGATGTAAATCATGTTCATGCCCCTTTTGCCAAGGCAGCCAGAAGAGAGTTAGCTCCAGAGATTTATGGGTTCTCACTAGTAACAATGATGAGGTAGATACAATTACTGCTGCAATGGAAAGCCTATGGTGTTTCTACCTATACATTGAGAACTTGCCACTCATGGTGTCTGATGCCCATTTGCTACTGTATGACTACATGATCTAACTGGCAGTACAGGAAGTAATAATTCTGAACATACTGATCCCTGATTGGGTAAAGCCTCTGTTTGGAAAGTTTGCTTATCTCTTCTTCAATGGAAGATTTGAGAGCCGTTACCTAGTAGCTGTATATAATAAATTTACTAGTGGAACTAGGCAACAGAGTCGTTTATCGAACTAATATGATCAAGCAGGTGGGTTTGAAGATTGGTGAAGTCCCTTAATGAGCAGCCTAGACAAAAGACCAAGGACCTCCCAAGTAGATGGTGAGAGTAATATGTGAAAGGGCGGCGAAAAGGCATTCCTACCGTTCTGTTCAGCTTTTGGAACTTGAGTTGTGGAAGGGAGATGTGGTAAGCTAGTAGATTTGCCTGGTAAGTGGTAATTGTTGTACATGATGTATAGCAGGCCATGGATAAGTCTGTATGTTATCTCAAACTTGCAAATCTAGTTGGCATTTCCATTGTAGTATTGCTTAGTATTGAGGGGCCCAAGTTGCTCTTGTTTGTTCAGTGATGAAACAATCATTGCTCTTGTTAATTGTTGTACACTTTCCTTTCATTCTTCCGGCAAGATTTAGATGGATTATGATGATCATGATGCTCAATTAGAGGGATAAGGCCATAGTTTTATGATTTTTGATGTGCTTGTGGCTGACACCGGGGATGGATTCTTTCAACTTAAACATGAGCTGATGGTATTTGTCTGCCTTAAGTGATGGATTAGCTCTCATACTCCTCGTGACTGCAAGCAAAAGTTGATGCTTATATGTGAAACTTGTATTGTTTTACTTCGTCGATTAGTTTATTTACCTTAGTTGCTTTTCTCATAAATGTATTCAGCTTTGGAATTAACCACATAGATCAGTGTCCTGGCCAGGAGACTTATGAGCTTGACTGATTAGGCAAGCTGGGAAAAGATTTCTTTTTTGTGCCTAACTTTTGATTATGTTTCACAAGCTATGAATTGGCCATCCTATTCCAAGGGCTTGGAGATACAATATGCAGCTCTTGTAAAATAGGCAGGTGCTTATGGTTTAAAACTTAGAAATTAAGAAGGGAGGGGAAAAATAAGGATTCTTACAAGGAGTATGCTTGAGAATGGTCCAGCTTCGAGAAGGACTGGGCTGGTAGGCTTAGTTTGTGGTTGTGAGCTTGTGATCAAAGGTACAATGGGTTGTTCTCACTCTGCTGTGCCCAGAGCCTAAAAATTGTCTTCCATGGCCATTTGTAATCTTGCACATGAAGGTTCTCAATACTTGAACAATTGGAATCGAGAATTTTGATTACTATAGTCTATTATGTTATATCATTCATTTTATTCTCGTTGAGCTCAATTTAAATTACCAGCATTATCTTTTATTTCTTGTCGTTTCTAAGTCCTACTCGTCACACCTTTCACGTCATTTCATAAAGTCGAAATTACGTTATGAAATGCATTAGATTAACAAAGAAATTCAGAAAGAGTTAAAATGAAAAATATTTAATCTTCCAGAATAAATGCCTGATTGCTGCCTAACAACCCCCTTTTAATGTGCCTAACAACCCTCTTTTAATGTACCTAACAACCCATTTAACTGGTCCAATTGTCCAAAATCAATCAACCTATGGCATATTCTTGGACTAAATGGCTTTTGTATTATTACTGAGCATCTTCATGCCTAGCTCTTAGAAAGATTGAGGAAATAACAAAGAATAATTAGGGAGGGGACAATACCTGAAGCATCAGAGGAAAGAACAAAATAGATTAAGGTAAAATTCTCACTTTTGATTAAATTAATGCAAAGCAACACTCCACTTAAAAGAGAAGTTGCATGGAGTTCATCCTTCCAATTTGCTAGTCTTTGATTAATAATGCTTTCCATCTCTTTATGAAAATAATTCTCTTTAACATAAAGGGTTTTGCAAGTGGGTATTTTCTTTTAGAGCCATTGAGTTCCTTTTGAAAGCCCATCTCCTATCCCACTCTCAAAAAGTTTATACCTTTAAACCTCCCCTTTCGATTAAAATTGAAGCTTCGTTGATTGCAAATTGATGGAAGTTTTTTTGTCTTTTGTTTGTACTTTGTTTGAGGAGAAAGAGGAAAGATAGTGTTCAAGATAAGACTAATAATTTATAATGTCATCTGCAAACTCGGTATGAAATTGACATAATTATATCAACTATGCACTATAATTGGGTTGTTCGACGAGGTGCACTTAATACATAGATTAACATGAATTCAATTATATTGGAGTGGATTATAAATGATTATGCATGGTAGATATACAACATAAACACAGTCAAAATTTATGAACATGACAAAAATTATCTTCTCTAATACGACCAAATGCAAGTGTCTTATCCTATACTCATTGACAAAACAAAGTTCTTTTTTTTTTTTTTTTGCATGATAATAACTGAGAACTCTTCTAATTACACGTGTTTTTTGAGTCCTGAAGTTGAATTTAACAAAAAGACACGCAAGTTTATTCGATACGTATGATTTGTAGATAATATACATATTTCTGAGTTCACAAAGTTTTGTGTTGGGTAGGTGGAGGCTTTTTCTCTTGTGGTGGGGTCATATAATGTTGTATACATGTTTCCAAATTAGAATATATTCAACATAGGATACCTAATCTACCAAGGACAGGGTGCTTGAAAACTTATAAATTAATGAAGAATATGTATGATTGGGGGTCAAGCACTTCAATAACCTCCACACTACCAAAGGTTTCTTGATAGGGTGTTACTTTAAATCTCAAAATTGACTGTGAGCTCAGTGAGGTGAGGCTAATGTCAAAGGGTTATTGGCTATGAGTAAAGCAAGTAAATGTCACAGGAGAGAGAGTGAGGGGTACATAATAATTTTTTGGAAAAATTTCAATAACACCCTCTCTAGTTTATCATATCTTCAAGGACACCTTCTCTAGTTTCTGAATCTTCAATGACACCCCTTCTAGTTTAATTTAAATATCACTAACACCCTCTACCATTAAACTATTATTTCTAACAAAGTAAATTCATCGAAAATACCAAAAATGCCCCTACATAACCTCAAGTAATTTTTTTACATAAAATTTTATTAAAATTCGATCTGTTAAAATTTTTAAAAAAATCATAAATAAAAATTTTAGTAAATAATTTGTTAGTAAATACTAATTTTTTATTTACTAATTAGTAATTTTTTTTTAAAAAATCGAGCCTATTAAATTTTTTTTTAAAAAATCGAGCCTATTAAATTTTTTTTTACATATTAAAATTTGAGCCGATTTGAACTCTATCCGAGTTGTTATGGCCGATTAAAATTCTCTTTCGAATTGATTATAATTTATATTTTTTTCTTATTAAAATTTGTGTCAATTAAAATTAGATTTATTAAAATTTAAGTCAATTAAAATTCATATATTTTTATATATTAAAATTTAGGCTGATTAAAATTCAATGCGAATTAATTAAAATTTGATTTGAGTTGATTAAAAATAATTTTTAATTGGCTCAAACAAAATTTTAATTAGCCCAAATTCTAATACGTAAAAAAAAAATAATTTTTAATTGGCACAAATTTTAATATGTAAAAAAATAAATTTTAATTAGTTTGAATCGAATTTTAATCGATTTAAATTTAATTACGTAAAAAAAATTAGAAAACAGATGGGGTCTCATTGAAAATATACTTATCTAGAGGGGGTCTCATTGAAGATATGTTTATCTAAAGGAGGCTGTGGATGAAGTTTGTCCTTAAATATATCATGAGCAATTTAGTAAAATTGCATTCTANTTTATCTAGAGAGGGTCTCATTAAAGATATGTTTATCTAGAGGAGGCTGTGGATGAAGTTTGTCCTTAAATATATCATGAGCAATTTAGTAAAATTGCATTCTACTTAATATTTTTAATCTGACAGAGGGTGTCATTGAAGATTCAAAAATTAGAGGGGATGTCCTTAAAGATATGATAAATTACAGGGAGTGTGATTAAAATTTTTTCAAATATTAAGTAGAATGCAATTTTATTAAATTGCCCATCTTTTCTTCCACGAAGCAGGTCAAGAGCCTCTCGTGCTAGACCACATGTAGTCACTGATATGCACGACACCAAAGGAAATTAGTTTGTCAAGGACATAAAGACGGCACTGTCATCATCACAGAGCAAACTAGAGAGCACAAATTTTAAAATTTGTGTTAATTAAAATTAGATTTATTAAAATTTAAGTCAATTAAAATTCATATATTTTTATATATTAAAATTTAGGTCGATTAAAATTCAATATGAATTAATTAAAATTTAATTTGAATTGATTAAAAATAATTTTTAATTGGCTCAAACAAAAGTTTAATTAGCCCAAATTCTAATACATAAAAAAAAATAATTTTTAATTGACACAAATTTTAATATGTAAAAAAATAAATTTTAATTAGTTTGAATCGAATTTTAATCGATTTAAATTTAATTACGTAAAAAAAATTAGAAAACAGATGGGGTCTCATTGAAAATATACTTATCTAGAGGGGGTCTCATTGAAGATATGTTTATCTAAAGGAGGCTGTGGATGAAGTTTGTCCTTAAATATATCATGAGCAATTTAGTAAAATTGCATTCTACTTAATATTTTTAATCTGACAGAGAGTGTCATTGAAGATTCAAAAACTAGAGGGGGTGTCCTTGAAGATATGGTAAACAACAGGGAGTGTGGTTGAACTTTTTCTAAATATTAAGTAGAATGCAATTTTACTAAATTGCCCATTATATATTTGAGGACAAACTTCATCCATACCTCCCTCTAGATAAACATATCTTCAATGAGACCTCCTCTAGATAAGTATATTTTCAATGAGACCCCCTTTATTTTCTAATTTTTTTTACATAATTAAATTCAAATCGATTAAAATTCAATTCAAGCTAATTAAAATTTATTTTTTTATATATTAAAATTTGTGCCAATTAAAAATTATATTTTTTACGTATTAGAATTTAGGCTAATTAAAATTTTTTTTGAGCCAATTAAAAATTATTTTTAATCGACTCAAATCATATTTTAATTAATTCGCATTGAATTTTAATCAGCCTAAATTTTAATATATAAAAATATATGAATTTTAATTGACTTAAATTTTAATAAATCTAATTTTAATTGACACAAATTTTAATAAGAAAAAAATATAAATTATAATTTACTCGAAAGAGAATTTTAATCGGCCCTAACAACTCGGATAGAGTTTAAATCGGCTCAAATTTTAATATGTAAAATTTTTTTTAATAGGCTTGATTTTTTTTTAAATTTACTAATTAGTAAATAAAAAATTAGTATTTACTAACAAATTATTTACTAAAATTGTTATTTATGAGTTTTTTAAAAATTTTAACAGCTCGAATTTTAATAAAATTTTATGTAAAAAAATTACTTGAGGTTATGTAGGGACATTTTTGGTATTTTAGATGAATTTATTTTGTTAGAAATAATAGTTTAATGATAGGGGGTAGTAGTGATGTTTAAATTAAACTAGAAGGGGTGTCCTTGAAGATATGGTAAACTAGAGGGGGTGTCATTGAAATTTTCCCTAATTTTTTATGATGTTTTTAGATTCATTAAAATAAGGTTCTATTATGAACCAATTACTATCTTTTCTCGGACCAATGACTTGCTTGTTCAATATTGCTAACTATTGTAAGAGAATGTCGTGACCTCAGGATTACCACTAATTTTAGTTATTGAATCTCGTGCAAGAATTTTCGTCTATAATAAAGTTAGGAAAAAATAAAATGCAGATGTTATTTCCTTATTTTCATTTTCGATAACCAAAAACACATTTAAATGAATGGGCAATCCCTTCTTAGCCCACATCTTAATTTTGAACTCGAAAATTGAAAAATATTCTTTCATCTCCCAAGTTACTAATAGTTACTCATTAAATGTTTTTCCTTTGCTGAAACTTTTGAAAGATATAACCAATGGAAAAGAAAAACTGGAATTGAGAAGTTTTCTTGTTGGACAGATTGTGCTTTCCTGAGTGAAAGTTCCATGGCATAATTGAGAGTAAGAAAGTCTCAAGGTTAGGATGATTATGTCAGAGAAAGACTTTCATCAAGAGGACCTTCCAAAATCCTCTCCCTTTGCATTTGAAAACTTAGATAAGATACTAGCAACAAGAAGAGATTTAAGAAACAAGAGAGGTTTAAATGACAAAATCACATCTATATATTTCAAGATCCTATTTGTCACGTAGAGTCGAGCATTCTTTAAAGACCCCTAAAGTGATTAAAAATTAAACCATTCTTGGTACATTACTCACTACTATGTATTGATAAACAACCCAATAAAAATAAGAGGTTTCACTTGAATTCGTTGTAATTTCTAAAAATAAGAATATTCAGGGAAAAAAAAGGAATAACTAACGTGCGCCATAGGGACCGTTAACTAACTGCTAGCTTATAGGAGGCGCCAATATTCCTTGTTCTCTTCCTTTCTTAGAACCACAAAGTCCTCCATTTTTAAACTATCAACACTTCTTTCACTCTCTCTCAGACATATATAGTCTTACTATGTTCTCCACATCTCGTACTTCTTGTCTTGTTTGTGCCTGAATCTGAACCTTTTGCATCAGTCTTTACAGCTATTCTGTTGATGGAGAGTACTGGGTTTAATTCTCCTCGGACTGATACCTTTCCGGCCGGTCTTCGTGTTCTTGTGGTCGATGACGATCCAACCTGGTTGAAAATCCTTGAAAAGATGCTTAAGAAGTGTTCATATGAAGGTTTTCTTTGCATACTACAATACCCTTTCTTCAACTATTTGATCACTTATATCAAATAATCCACCTATCAATGAAAAATTAAAGGATCTCTTTATCATGTTCAGACTTGAGGTTTTGTGCCATATGTGTTTGGTAATATTTTTAGTTAAATTCATGGGGGATTTCATGATATTTGTACTATTTGTTTATTTTTCAGTGTCGATTAATCTGTCAATTGCACAGTTGTCTACTTGGGTTATTGTATTGAGTTGGCTTAGGATAAATTCCTTAATCAGCACACAAAATTGATGCTTCAAGTTTCTATGAGGGTCATGGCGCCGAACCTCTAGTATTTAGTTTCTGAACTTTGAGCTATTAGTTTGATTTGAGTTGTTTGGAAAGTACTGCTCAAGTGATATTCTGCTATAATTTCCAAGTTATAGCTTACAGTGTAGGCTAGGGCTTTCAAACAACCAAGATACCTTGTGATTGGTTGGATCCAACTTCATAGGAGGCTCATCAATTGAACAAGCCATACTTGAACCTAGGTCATCGACTTCCAAGCAAATTAAGCCTGAACTTCCCCAATCTTTGGTCATGTAAACTCGAGAACCAAGGGTATAAGCTTAGGACTAAAGCTTCACTTCATTGTTTTACCTCTGGTAGGGCTGATAGACCAACTGTCTTCTTGTGAACTCCTTGGGATCAGAACATTGTGCAGTCCATAATGGAGGCCACAATTAAGCACAGTTGTTGAGTTCCTATTTTTGAGGAAGTGTGTGCTTACAAGTTTTGATCTGCTGGGAAGTAGTAGTCAAGACAAGGATAGGAATGTTTAAGAGTTATTTCCCCAAAGGAACTTATCACAGAAACGATTGTAAGTAAACTTTGCATAGAATTATGACAGCTGACAGAATTTAGAAATTTAGGCTTACTAAATCCTTCTTTGTTCGTTTTCTTGTTAGTGTTCCACAAGAGTTATCAAGAAGCAGACAGATTGTCTGGTTTTCCTTAGGCACTTTCATTTAATGATTCAATCCTCCTATTCTATTTTCATTTGTTTGTTGTTTTGTAAGTATCGAATAGTTCGCCATTTTACTCCATTTAGTATACCTTGTGTTATGTTCCAGAAGAAAAGACAGTAAAACATTTTGTTGAGAGTCTTGAGACACAGTACTTCCATAAATACTCAATAGTAGTCATCTCCTTGAGTAATCCTTCTTGTTCTACTTTCCTATGCAAGCCCAAATCAAGTCATCAGAGGTATCCATTAGGCATGAAAATAGTTGATGCGGGAAAGACAGAACACCATTGCATCATTGATGTCAAAAGTTGTGTATTTTGCTTTCCTCAGTTTTCATGACATTGCCTTGTATTAAATGATCACTATATTCTGCTCTCTAGTTTGCTCTGTGATGATGACAGTGCCGTCTTTATGTCCTTGACAAACTAATTTCCTTTGGTGTCGTGCATATCAGTGACTACGTGTGGTCTAGCACGAGAGGCTCTGGACCTGCTTCGTGGAAGAAAAGATGGNATATTTTTAGTTAAATTCATGGGGGATTTCATGATATTTGTACTATTTGTTTATTTTTCAGTGTCGATTAATCTGTCAATTGCACAGTTGTCTACTTGGGTTATTGTATTGAGTTGGCTTAGGATAAATTCCTTAATCAGCACACAAAATTGATGCTTCAAGTTTCTATGAGGGTCATGGCGCCGAACCTCTAGTATTTAGTTTCTGAACTTTGAGCTATTAGTTTGATTTGAGTTGTTTGGAAAGTACTGCTCAAGTGATATTCTGCTATAATTTCCAAGTTATAGCTTACAGTGTAGGCTAGGGCTTTCAAACAACCAAGATACCTTGTGATTGGTTGGATCCAACTTCATAGGAGGCTCATCAATTGAACAAGCCATACTTGAACCTAGGTCATCGACTTCCAAGCAAATTAAGCCTGAACTTCCCCAATCTTTGGTCATGTAAACTCGAGAACCAAGGGTATAAGCTTAGGACTAAAGCTTCACTTCATTGTTTTACCTCTGGTAGGGCTGATAGACCAACTGTCTTCTTGTGAACTCCTTGGGATCAGAACATTGTGCAGTCCATAATGGAGGCCACAATTAAGCACAGTTGTTGAGTTCCTATTTTTGAGGAAGTGTGTGCTTACAAGTTTTGATCTGCTGGGAAGTAGTAGTCAAGACAAGGATAGGAATGTTTAAGAGTTATTTCCCCAAAGGAACTTATCACAGAAACGATTGTAAGTAAACTTTGCATAGAATTATGACAGCTGACAGAATTTAGAAATTTAGGCTTACTAAATCCTTCTTTGTTCGTTTTCTTGTTAGTGTTCCACAAGAGTTATCAAGAAGCAGACAGATTGTCTGGTTTTCCTTAGGCACTTTCATTTAATGATTCAATCCTCCTATTCTATTTTCATTTGTTTGTTGTTTTGTAAGTATCGAATAGTTCGCCATTTTACTCCATTTAGTATACCTTGTGTTATGTTCCAGAAGAAAAGACAGTAAAACATTTTGTTGAGAGTCTTGAGACACAGTACTTCCATAAATACTCAATAGTAGTCATCTCCTTGAGTAATCCTTCTTGTTCTACTTTCCTATGCAAGCCCAAATCAAGTCATCAGAGGTATCCATTAGGCATGAAAATAGTTGATGCGGGAAAGACAGAACACCATTGCATCATTGATGTCAAAAGTTGTGTATTTTGCTTTCCTCAGTTTTCATGACATTGCCTTGTATTAAATGATCACTATATTCTGCTCTCTAGTTTGCTCTGTGATGATGACAGTGCCGTCTTTATGTCCTTGACAAACTAATTTCCTTTGGTGTCGTGCATATCAGTGACTACGTGTGGTCTAGCACGAGAGGCTCTGGACCTGCTTCGTGGAAGAAAAGATGGATTTGATATCGTAATCAGCGATGTTAACATGCCTGATATGGATGGTTTCAAGCTTCTAGAGAATGTTGGTCTTGAGATGGATCTTCCTGTCATTAGTCAGTTCTCTCTCAAAGCCATATGAAGCTTTGTTCTGAATGTCAGTTTCTTGTTTACCTTATTTCAGTATAACCGGTTACTATATTTCTAACACTAATTCTTAATCTAAGCAGTGATGTCTGTTGACGGAGAAACGAGCAGGGTGATGAGAGGTGTTCAACATGGAGCTTGTGATTATCTTCTTAAGCCTATAAGAATGAAAGAACTTCAAAATATCTGGCAGCATGTCTTTAGAAAGAGGATAAATGAGGTGAGAGATATTGAAAGTTATGGAGGGATTGAAGAAATTCAGCTGATGAGATATGGATCACACCAACTTGATGACAGATATTTGCTTAATGGAGGTGATCTGACTTCCGAAAAGAAAAGAAAAGTTGTTGAAAACAAGCTTGATGACAAAGACTTCAGTGATTCTTCTTCTCTGAAGAAAGCTAGAGTAGTTTGGACCGTAGATCTTCATCAGAAATTTGTCAAAGCTGTAAATCAGATCGGATTTGATAGTAAGTTTTCATCAGCTTTACTCGTCAAAAGTTTGATCTTGATGTGGCTGTCTTAGATTAAACATCTCAGTTTCTTACTTTGTAGTGCTAACATTTGTTTGTAGTGTAAGCTGCTTGCAATTATAAAGCTGTCATCTATATCATGCTTTTAGAGAGCCATTAATTTACATGTATGTTCTGCAGAACTTGGTCCTAAGAAAATACTCGACTTGATGGATGTTCCATGGTTGACAAGAGAAAATGTTGCTAGCCACTTGCAGGTAAGATGTGCTCTACTCTTGCTCTTAATCTTGGAGCAGGGAAATTGTTAGGGTCATCAAATACCTAAGTAGTGTCAATTATCTAATTATAATTGCGACTAACAAAATAAATTCACAAATCCACCAGTCTGTTCAAGTGTATTCCCCCTTTAGATTATTGGATAGTTTCTAAACTGATATTTCATACGGAAATATATGCACCTTCATACTAATAATGTGTGTATTTAGGAAAGAAGCGCGTTTCTATGATCATACTGTAATTGCTTGTGACCTCACAGATATATTTTTGTTGTGCAGAAATACCGTCTCTACTTGAGTAGGTTACAGAAAGAAAATGAACTAAAATCTTCTTTGAGTAGGATAAATCAGTCAGCTGCCTCTCCGAAAGACACTGCTCGAAAACTTGGTTTTCACGATTCGATCAATATGCAGCCAGATGGTGCTGCTAATGGCCTCTATGGAACTTCTGACAACAAAATTCTAATCCACAGCATCGATCATAAAATCCATGAAGCTGATCTTAAGGGTATTGTTTCGTTGCCGATGATAGAACCCAAGAAAGCTCCGATTGTTAATATTCCTGAACCTCGGAGGGCAAGCAGGTCAACCATGGGCCTCAATGAATCTTTCGGGTCAATGGAACGAGGCCTTAAATATGCAGCATTTGATTCTACTTTCCCTATGCACCACTCATGGAGCGGTGAATATCCTGAAATTCAGTATCAAGAACATAATCCTCATCTTCAGTTAGAGAATGGCTTCAGCCACCTGCCACTGTCAGCTCCACAGCATCACATCCAAGTTAATAATCTACGACCAGCTACTTCGACAAATACCACACCGATCAACAAGGAAAGAGATAAACCAGCACCGGATGAAATCAGCCCTTCATATGCCAAAAACAGAAGCCAACAAATCAGACAAGTATCTCCGACAGGAAATGCATTCAACTTACTTTCAGTTCAGTCTCAGAGCCAAATGACTAATGTCCACACTGCAGATCCACCAGTCAGTGCTACATCTAGCATGAAGAATCAAGGCGTTGATCGGATTTCAATAAATGAACCGGAATCTACACAGGGAAACCTGGGAAGGGGGTCAGCCTTTGCATATATTGATGAGGACTTAACCACTTCTTTGTTTCAAGGTGATTGCCATCCCACTAATCTTGGTTTCCAGAACAAAAAAAACTTGGAAAACAAAGACCCAGAGCTCGTCGTTGAAATTCTTCCCTACTTGTATGATGCGTTGATGTTTGACTATGAGTGTCCCGGTGAGTCAGTGGAATATCCTGTAATAATAGATCAAGGATTGTTCATAGCATGACCAGTTTAAATTGGAAAGGTACCCAACAGAAAAAAAATAATATTGGAAGAGTGTGCCAAATTTAGTTCAGTAATTCAAACTGTTGTATTCCCTGCAGAAAGCTGATTTTAATTGAATAATTCTACCTCTACTCTCCTCACTGGACTTGAATAAATATGTGTAAGTGGTGGTCTAACAAAGATCTGGAAATAGCCCACCTGACTCACTAGTGATGTTGCAAAGAAATTGAAAATTACCCATCTGCCATTTCTTCAGTTTTTCGGAGAAACTATTGATAGAACCACAACACTCCCAGATTCAGCATTTTTAATATCCTGCTTTCTTCTTGTCAATCAAATGGGCATAACTGAAGCTTTAAAGATAATTCACTTTATTTATACCATATAAAGCTGGAGGTTCTCTGATACAATCCTCAAAAGTGTGTCAAAATATATATCCAGAAAAAAAGTAGAAGAACCATTACAAAGTCTTGCCTCTAATTATTGTTTTATAGCAGCCAACAATAAGAATTCAAACTTTCTATTAAAATTTCCCATCCCTCTGCTATCTCGAAATTTATTTTCATATTCAGGATATCTGGTGTAAAAGGCAGTTCCAATCCGTCAGTAGCAGAAGCAGTCAATTCTCCAATAGTTTCTTCTACATGCAAATACTTCAACAATGCAGTATCTAGTTCTCTACTTCACACTCAAAGCTGAATATTTGGGGAAGCATTCTCATGCATACTATTTTTTGCCTGTGATTTGGTAGAACGAGTTGGGATCTGGTTGTTCTTTTCTGTAACATGCTTGAAGCTATCAGCCTTTCCTGAAGACCTCCAAGGAGGGCGAGGTCTAGAATCCTGGATTATGCTGGGAGTTGGTCTCCGACTGAGATTTGGTGAGCAAGGTTGTGTCAGTGTGATCTGCAAAAATACCATGCCTTCATTGCTTTGACAACTGGTGGGAAAACTCAAGGATATTAAATTGTTTAAGGTTTCAGATAGTCTAAGATTTCACGAGATATGTTGACAGCCTTTGTGCTTCTACTGTAGCACTGTGTCCACCATCGTGCATAGAAAGACATACTCGGTGTTTATTAGCAAAACATCCATTGAGCTGAGCTAATTTTGGACATGTATTATGTGGCATTGAGACCTCTGATTTATATTCATAGAAAAACATTTCTAAACCTGTAATCCATGAATTTACAGCAGTCCTAGTATATTGTTCATTCCCACTAAGGGTTCCGCAAACACACACGCACGCATGCACATGTTCGTGTGTTAACTCAGCAGTTCAAGCTCATGATGAAATTTAGCAGTTGGTCTAGTTTTGACTTTTGAGGCAAAAGATCTGTTGGATTCTCTTAGGGTCATACTATGCTTTCTTGCTCATTGAAAGATAGACATAGTAGCAATCGACACTATGTTATCCAATGAGATAATAAGAGGATTTCGCAATTGCTAGGTGACTCAAAAACTATAATTTAGCCAACTTCAGATCAACTCAAAGAATTCGTGTTTCTTAGTCTTTGAATCCATGTAGTACTTAGAACTTAAGAACCATCCATCTCGTTCATATTGCATCTGTCTGGGTGTGGTAATTTTTTCCCTACTCATTCAATCACATTATAATAGAGGTAAGGATCAAAATTTCTTTTCTAAACGGTCAAAACATCTAGAATGTTTCCATTTCTAAGAAGACTGAAACGAATCAGTGATGAAATCGAAATTATAATATTTTGAGGTGTTTCGTAATATTTCAAGATATTTTGTAATGTTTTAATCCATTTGCACAAATGTTTCGGAATGTTTCTAAGATATTTCGACCAATGTTTTGAAAAAATAATTTTTAAATTTTTTATTTTTTTCATTATGTTTTTGAAACGTTTCTAAAATATGTCAAAACGTTTCTATTTTCTAGGTGACCGAAACAATGTACTGAATCAAAAGTTATCCTTGAATAGAGGTAATAAAAAAACCTTAGATTTTGCTTGCAGCTGAAGTTTTTCCACCTCCTTCGCCTTGATCTTTTCCGCTAGTTTCTGATAAAACTGAACAAGCACACAATATGGGGAAAGGCGAAATCAGTACAATATCTAATGAGTGAATCTGTAAATACAGAGTGTGACTGGGTCTGGACTTGCCTCTTTACGTTTGGCCACTCTTTCCTCACTCCTGAAGCTAAAAGAGGAGGTTACTGTTGGAGATTGTGCATTTCTTCCAAATGCAGTCAAGCTTTCTGAATGGCTGCCACATGTTTTGAGGAAAAATTAAGAATACTCATGAAAATGTGACATTAGTAGATTGATTGCACGATCAAGATACTCTTCATTTACTTTTTTAAAGAAAGGAATTGGAAAGTTGGTTTGATGAAATTAAATAGGCCTATATCGTATGCACAATATAAATGGCAGTTTTTGGGATAGTAAATAAAGTCACTTCATTTTAAAAGAAACTAATTTTATCAGTGAAGTAACTGTGTTATCTTTCTGAAGACAGAATACTAGCAATACTTCTTAGTTGTGCTCAGCATGGTACACCTCATATTTATCTTGAAAGCAAATTCAGAACTATATGGTTATCCAGTGAAACTCTACAATCCACAGTCTAAACAAACTAAAACCATTTGTAGCAAAGAGAGCAGCTGTTCTTACTCCATAGGTAAGATTTGTGATTTCCCATACACCATTGTGTTTCACGAAACTGACCTATCAAGAAGATTTCGAGACCTACAAATCATAAAATTAAACATCTTATTGGGAGGTGTTGAATATCATACTGTTGCAACAGCATAAAGGAATCTTGTGAGCGCTTGAGATTTATATGCTCTTCAGGACTATTATGAAGTGAATTACCTTCTACTTTCTGCTTGAGGGGTCACTGGAGGATGCTTTGATACCCTATTCACAGATGCCTGCACATGGAAAAAAACCATCTCTTGCATGTACTAAAGATAGGTCAAACAAATTCCATTTGGGTGTGTGCATGCATGTGATATTGTGGATAAGTTAATGGCAAGGGAGGGGGAAGTAAGCACCCCGGTCGGAACTTGTTGAGTTGAGCAGTCTTTGGATGTCTTGACGAAAGCTTTGATGATCCTTGAATTTCCAATCTTGTGAAGAAGAGGAGAAGATGCTTTACTGGTTACACTAGTCTTAGAAGCAAAATTGATTGACATGTGAAGTGATTTTGGAGTTGATCTTTTTAGGTCCATCAAGTCTCTGGCCACCGTCTTTTTATTTGGAAGGGCATTGTCTGCCTTCCTGGAATGAACAAGAGTTGTTGGTTTGGCAGGAGGTCGGAGCTTTGATGCTTCACTGTAAGTTGATAACTTCGAGGAAGGAATTGCAGGTTTCTTCTTTTTCAATGATCCTGGATCTCCCTGATCAGCAACATCCTAGAAAATGAAGATAGGGGGATGAGGTAATGCAAAAGATGGGATTAAGTAGAAATAAGAAAACAGAGATAGTTCCAGACCTATACCTTGACAGGTGTTTTCTTTTCTTGAGTGGACATTGTATTACTGAGGTTTTCATTACTCTCTTGCTGATTGAAAAGGTCAACCACAACAGGATTCTCTGCAATACTCAGCTGTTCTGGTACAGATTCTGCAACTTCTACTTGAGCAGTTTCCAAATCGTTTCCTTCAACATTACAGCCAACTGCATCAACAGAGGAAACTAGCTGAGCATTAGTTACTTCTTCTCCCTTTGTTTCATCAATGGCCACACAGCTTTCTGATTGCGCCAACTCTGGATTCACGTAACTGTTATTGCAAAACTCATCCATCACATGTGGTTCAGATGAATCATTAGCAGCTGCATGGTCTTGCTCAAGCAACACGGCAGCTTTTTTGGCAGCTTTTCTCTTGTAATGGGCTTCAAAATAAGCTTTCTTCTCAGCAACAGAACCGGGCTTGGAATATTTCTCGACCTCTTCCATGTAGCGGTTCTGAGTGAAGGATGACCATTTTTCCCAAGCCAGTGTTTCTGACACAAACCTCCCAAATGATATAGAAGATGTGAGGGCACGAAGCGGATCTCCCTGTAGTCAGAACTTTTTGCAGTTATAGTAGCAAAATCTTCAAACTATTGAAGTTATAAATACGTATTCAATTCAAAGAATTATTTGAAATGGAATTGTGAAAAGCTTCCAAACTCCTCATAGAATCAATTTCACAAACCAAGCACAATCATGAAATGAATACCTAATGATTGTGCAATCCACATAGAAAAATTAACGGAGACCCATCACAGGAAATCCTCAGTTATGTTACTTCATGCAGAAATTGGCAAGAATGAAAATGCAGTGATTAAGACAAACGTGACTTATGAATCAAAAAATGGTAATAAGCGAATGGAGAGAAATTAATTAATAAATCCAATGTATTTATCTAATTTAGACTCATCATAGTAGATTCAACAAAGTTTTACGCAGCTATCTATCGCAACCCTCCGCTTCAAACAGCGAGCGTTGAACAACGCTGGCGGAGTTATGTATTTATCTAATTAAGAAACTTAAAATACACAAGAAAGTAAAGAAAACCCATGTCCTAATCAACATATATAACAGTCGAAACAATGCCGAAAATTCAAAAACGCATCGAATCCATCACGAGTCGCTTGGAATTGGAGTGAAATCAAGATTGACAAAGAAAGATAGGAAATTTCAAATACTGGTCCTTGAACTCTAACCTCTTTGAATTCATCAGAAGTGCTAGAAGGCTGAGAGAATGATCGCACGAGACAAGCCGATGAATCACCCATGTCCTCCTAGTCTAGAGAGAGAAGAAAAGACCACACCCAAAAAACCCTCCTTCGAATATCCTCTCTCTCTCTCTCTCTCTCTCTCTCTCTCTCGGTTGATACTCGTATATCCCTCTTTAGAGTTCCTTTGTCGGACGAAACCCCTGTGAATTTTGCTCTTCTGAGACTCACTTTGAGCTTTGAATCGAAACCTTTGTGTCAAATTCAATGATCAGACCGGAGAGCCAAAGATTTGCAGGAAAAAGAAAAGCTTTTTTGGGTTGCCTTTGAAGTGCAGTATATGTTCTTATCTTTGGACAGTGACTCTCTCTCTACCATGGTTGGTTTGGTCCTAAATCAAAAGGTCCCATGAGGCATGGAGGGAACTATCTAACGTCTAGGTTCTTTAATTAGACCAATGGCAAGTAGATTTGAGAGAATCTTGTGCTTTTTAATTAATAGATAAATAAGGTTTGTTATTTTGAATTTGAAAAGAATACGACAGGGTTGGGTCCACTGATAGACTGATTATGGACAATACAACGGCTAGTGTCTCCAACTACTGATGTTGCAAGGCAACAATCCAATGCCTTTTGGACTTTGAGAGAGGCAAATGAGGGTGGTCATCTTAATGGGCATGTAGAAATGTTCAACCTTGCATACAAGCATAGACCTAGTGAGTGACTTAATGGAGCGATCGCCACAGTGACTTATTATGTTGTTACTATCTAAGAATATCTCTAAATTACATAGACTCGTGTTTCTTAATTTTTTTTAAAGTTTTAAAAGATTACTCCCATATATTTCGTTTACACTGAATTCTTGATATTGTCTTTAAATAGACATGCATCAAGTTGATTGAAAGAAGTGTCGCATGTTTATTTTTGTTACTATGAGTTTAATGCAGTTTCGTAATCAACTAAAGTTTTGTAATCAGCTAAATGAAGAATGACTTTTTTTCCTTATTGTGAAATAATTTTTAGATTGTAAAGCATGGTTATNAGCACAATCATGAAATGAATACCTAATGATTGTGCAATCCACATAGAAAAATTAACGGAGACCCATCACAGGAAATCCTCAGTTATGTTACTTCATGCAGAAATTGGCAAGAATGAAAATGCAGTGATTAAGACAAACGTGACTTATGAATCAAAAAATGGTAATAAGCGAATGGAGAGAAATTAATTAATAAATCCAATGTATTTATCTAATTTAGACTCATCATAGTAGATTCAACAAAGTTTTACGCAGCTATCTATCGCAACCCTCCGCTTCAAACAGCGAGCGTTGAACAACGCTGGCGGAGTTATGTATTTATCTAATTAAGAAACTTAAAATACACAAGAAAGTAAAGAAAACCCATGTCCTAATCAACATATATAACAGTCGAAACAATGCCGAAAATTCAAAAACGCATCGAATCCATCACGAGTCGCTTGGAATTGGAGTGAAATCAAGATTGACAAAGAAAGATAGGAAATTTCAAATACTGGTCCTTGAACTCTAACCTCTTTGAATTCATCAGAAGTGCTAGAAGGCTGAGAGAATGATCGCACGAGACAAGCCGATGAATCACCCATGTCCTCCTAGTCTAGAGAGAGAAGAAAAGACCACACCCAAAAAACCCTCCTTCGAATATCCTCTCTCTCTCTCTCTCTCTCTCTCTCTCTCTCGGTTGATACTCGTATATCCCTCTTTAGAGTTCCTTTGTCGGACGAAACCCCTGTGAATTTTGCTCTTCTGAGACTCACTTTGAGCTTTGAATCGAAACCTTTGTGTCAAATTCAATGATCAGACCGGAGAGCCAAAGATTTGCAGGAAAAAGAAAAGCTTTTTTGGGTTGCCTTTGAAGTGCAGTATATGTTCTTATCTTTGGACAGTGACTCTCTCTCTACCATGGTTGGTTTGGTCCTAAATCAAAAGGTCCCATGAGGCATGGAGGGAACTATCTAACGTCTAGGTTCTTTAATTAGACCAATGGCAAGTAGATTTGAGAGAATCTTGTGCTTTTTAATTAATAGATAAATAAGGTTTGTTATTTTGAATTTGAAAAGAATACGACAGGGTTGGGTCCACTGATAGACTGATTATGGACAATACAACGGCTAGTGTCTCCAACTACTGATGTTGCAAGGCAACAATCCAATGCCTTTTGGACTTTGAGAGAGGCAAATGAGGGTGGTCATCTTAATGGGCATGTAGAAATGTTCAACCTTGCATACAAGCATAGACCTAGTGAGTGACTTAATGGAGCGATCGCCACAGTGACTTATTATGTTGTTACTATCTAAGAATATCTCTAAATTACATAGACTCGTGTTTCTTAATTTTTTTTAAAGTTTTAAAAGATTACTCCCATATATTTCGTTTACACTGAATTCTTGATATTGTCTTTAAATAGACATGCATCAAGTTGATTGAAAGAAGTGTCGCATGTTTATTTTTGTTACTATGAGTTTAATGCAGTTTCGTAATCAACTAAAGTTTTGTAATCAGCTAAATGAAGAATGACTTTTTTTCCTTATTGTGAAATAATTTTTAGATTGTAAAGCATGGTTATATTCTCTCCAACCAAGAAAAGAGAAGAAAATAAAGAAAGCTCAAAGGAAAAGAAACCAAACCACTATCAGTAGTTTTAGGGCTAGAAGACAATCTGTGTTTTATTAATAGCTTTCTACTTTCCAGCTCTTTTTCATAACTGCCCGTGCATTATATTGTGTCTATATTCTATAGTATACACGATTGGATCAAACAGGAACTAAGGTGAACCCCAAAAGAAATATAACAGGGACAAGCTTCAAACAAAGGAAAGCTAAAACTGCAAATTAAGTGGTTTTGTCATAGAAAATCATCTTCTAGATTGTTACAAACATCCCATGGGAAGGGACTGTCAAACCAGTTGGATAACGGTTCATTCGTCCCCACACTGAATACATATGAAGAATCTGTGTTGTGGCACTCCATTGATCTCATGTCCAAACTTGCCTGCACTTCGTTGGCATAGACAAGATTGGACTCCTTATCAAAGCTATAGTCCAATGTCCCTCTGCGCTGTGACATTGGATAACCCTTTGAGATTAAACTATCCTGCAACTCCACCTTCATGTTTTCTTGTTCTCTTGAGGTATTAAATTGCGAAAAACCTTCCTCTTTCCCCTCACAAATTCCATGTGCCTCGACAGGTTTGTGGGTGACAGGGTCTAATCCAAGAAATTTTAGCTTCTTCTTGATCCTGGTATTCCAGTGGTTTTTTATTTCGTTATCTGTACGACCAGGAAAATGTGCTGCAATCTTGGACCACCTGCCAAAAATAGTAGATACAGTTTTAATTCAATCAGAAACTAAATACCCTGGGAGCTTATATTGTCTGAAATATTGGGTGAAGAAGGAAACCATCGATTTGCATAATATTACCTGTTACCTAAACAACAGTGAAGTTGGATGATCATATCTTCTTCTGCTTCTGTCAATGCTCCTCGTTTGAGATCTGGCCTCAAATAATTAATCCACCTTAGTCTACAACTCTTTCCACACCTCATCAAACCTTCAACACAGCCACAAGAATTAGAGAAAGATATACACTAACAACGCAACAAAACATTATCCCAACTATTAGGGGCATTGGATACTGATAAATTCTTTGTAAATACCCTTAAATGCGTGGCACACACACACACACACACAGAGATAGAGAAAGAGCATCTTCAAAAACACCTGCGAGTTTTGGAATGAGTCGCCAGCATTGTATGCCATTGTTGAGGATGAAGTTCATGAGCTTATGGTCTTCTTCGACAGTCCATGGACCTCTCCTCAATCCAACTTTATCACAACAAGGCTGTCTTCCCATCAAACAAAGGTTTATAGGAAAACCAAAGGAGCAAAAACTACGGAAAATTGGCAAGAAACAAACTCACTATTCAGTCAGTGGAATGGAGGGGCTTCAGCCAAAAAAGGTACTTATAAGTAGAAGCAAATATTCTGCCAGTTCATACACAGATCAGAGCAATATAGTTTATAAGCAATTCATGATTGAGAGAAAGAATAAATGTCGATAACCATTAGAATAACAGTAGTCTCAATGCTATATATTAATACAATGATCACCATCATTGTTAAATAATCAAAAATTCTTGGTGCCAAAAGAATCATAAAGAAAAGAAACATAAAGAAAAGAGAAGAAACAGACGCGAGTATCCTTGTCATTGACATGTTTTATATTGGCCACAAAGTCTGCTCCTGCTGAATTTCTGGAAAGTAAAGCAATGTAATTTGAAAGATTCCTTGGCCAACCTATTAGCTGGCCAGTCTTGTTTATAGGGGGCAACTCTACTCCTTGTGCTAGAGATCAATATGGTGTCTGAGTAGTGAATTATCACCATTTTCTAAACCCTTAATATAAACTACTCGATCGACCAAATCTCCAACTGATTTTCTGAGTATTCTAGCTATATGATATTACTTCCAGCATGGTTTCATCACAGCAGATAATAATATGTTGATGTTAGTTAACCATCCTGAACTTCATCTAAATAAAAATAATCACTATACTGGAAACATGTTCATAAACAATTTCATAAGACAGTGCAATTAGCATCTTGAGCTTCATCCAAATAAAAATAATCATTGTAGTGGAAACATGTACTTAAACAATTTCATAAGACAGTGCAATTATTCGATTTTTAAAATGTAGCAAGTAAAGACTGAATTATTGATGGTTCCTGTCTGAATGTAAAATCTGATAGAATGAAACTTGCCTGTTGTTCATGCCGTTGCTCTAATGATTTTCTAATGGCTTATTAACCTTTGACATCAAATGCACCAAACATGTTTGATTAACAGATGCTCGTAAGGCAGCGCGATGATATGATTTTAAAATGTTTAGTAAGAAAAGAATGAATTATTGATGGTTCCTCTCTGCACATCAAATATGATGACTTTGAAAAACCTGTTGTTCATGCTGTGTTCTAATGATTTCCAATGGCATAATAACGTTTGAAATCGAACTACCAAAACATGGTTGATTAATTAACAGATGAGATGAATAATGAAGAACATGGATCTATGTAATTTATTTCAACCCCCCAAGTAATCAGACTCCTTTTAGCATCATAAATAATATGACAGTAGCCTAAAAAAAAAGGCGAGAATGATCACAGAAGTTTTAAGAATTGATAGTGGTGGCGATAAATTTGTGATGCTGATTACAATGAACTTTCTCCTCCCTGGAGCCGGTACAATCCGCTCTCTTCAGTCCTCATACAGTATTATGGCCGGAACATTATATTGAGCATACTGTCCGTACAATTTTTTGTTGATGTTGAATATGTAAGATCCTGAAAATCACGACATCAAATCTGTAGCTGCCAATCTTGAAGACAAACAGCCGTAGGAGCTGAAAGGCAGCCGTCGGCAAAAAAGAAAACATACACAGAATTTACATATCACATAGCTCAAACACACTTGACAGAGAGGAAACCACAAGCCCACACCATCCTGACAATTGCTGACCGGAGAAAGGGAGAGCAGGCCACTTATACTCAAACATACAAATCCACCATGTAATTTGTTTATCAGTTGAGTGGAAGTCCGAGCAATTGTGCTGTGGATGTAGGCCTGAATAAACCGAATCACTCGAATTCTTGTGTTTCTTTTTTTCTCTCATTTCATTTCTCATCTCTCCCCATTCCAAATCTAACATAGTATCAAAGCTACTCAGAGCCTATCCAAAATTTAATCGTTGAATTATTGTTGCGATAATTAAAAATTATTGCACAAGTTAAATCCACCATGACTTGCAAAGTTAAACCTGAAACAAGTAGCAACTAGCTCGCTATGTACAATTGCCTGGTTGTCTCCCTTTTTGGGTTTTAGCATGGCATTGAAGATTAAGTTTCTTATAAGATTTGTTATGTTAGCCTCTCAGAAACGAAAATTAAGAGTGATAAGAGCATTACATACTTGAGGATTAATTTTCATTATGCAAAATATTCTCAATTTAGAGTTAACCCATATGTTCTATCAATTTAGAGTATGCAAAATTCAAGTCAATGGCGGGGAGGATCTAAAACTAACCTCATTGGAGACTAGACTAGAGGTTGGGCCCTGCCATGGTCGAGGACTACTTGTTTTTTATTTTTAAGTGTTAAGCTGCACCAACTACCACCACCCCCCGATTCAATGCGGTCGTACCTTGGCACTATCTCTTTGATTTTTCTGCAGGCATGTCCAAATGACCTTTTGTCACTACTCAAATTGTACAGAATTACTTGCAACACTAAAAAAACGTTTCAAATTGTTTTTTGTTTTTGGTTTAACAGTTATACGCAGTCCAGCTCTGTTGAATTAAAGTTATCTCAATTTTTGGCAGGCTCACTAATTTTTTTTTGGCTTTGACGTAGAACAGATAGCTAAGGACTTATCAAAGCAGTTAGTGTCAAAAACCCAAAAGGTGAGTCGTGTGGAGCAAGAGTTATGTCGGGCAGAACAGAAGTACTTGGTTATAGTTTTTTACTGGGTTCCGCTAGGTTAGACTTCTAAATTATCAGTCTCTAATAGCCTAGCAGCTCCATCTTCCACCTTCATTACTTGTCATCTGAAGAAGAAACTCGGGAGGAAACTAAATGGAAAATTTTGCCCTTCAACTCCTCTGCATGTTTCTCATACCCTTTGTCTCCTTTCTCTTCTACTTCACCATTCGTAGATGGACATCCGCCGAGTCACAGCCAGTGACTCGGCCACCATCACCCCGGAAACTTCCGATCATCGGCCACCTCCACCTCCTAACAGACATGCCTCATCACTCCTTCGCCCAACTCGCTCACAAACTCGGACCCATCATCTACCTCCAACTCGCCCGAGTCCCCACCCTTGTCATCTCGTCCGCCCAACTCGCTCAACTCATCCTCAAAACCCACGACTACGTTTTCTCCAACCGTCATCAACTCATCGCCGCTCAGTACCTCTCCTTTGGTTGCTCTGACGTCACTTTCTCCACATACGGTCGATATTGGCGGCAAGCAAGAAAAGTCTGTGTGACCAAGTTGTTGAGCTCAAAACGAGTCAACTCATCCAAGTCATCAGAGATGAAGAGGTAAACCGCATACAAACTGTTTCAACTCGGTGCAACTCTGTAGTTGACATGGGTGAGCTCTTCTTTACCCTAGCGAATGATATCCTATGCCGAGTTGCTTTTGGGAAGAGATTTATGAAGGACTCTGGACTTGGAGAGAGAAATAAAAACGATTTGGTGGGTGTTTTGACGGAAACACAGGCTTTGCTAGCTGGTTTTTGTGTAGGAGATTTCTTTCCTGAGTGGGAGTGGATTAACTCGGTGAGTGGGCTGAAACGGAGGTTGATGAATAACTTGAAAGACTTGAGATGATATAATAAGGGAGGACGCGAAGAAGAGAGAGAATAGAGATAACACAGGCTACGTTTCCGTTAAGAGTAACGCTGTATAAATTAAAAAAGTAGACTTAAAAATTAAATTTGATAATTATAATAATTAATTTTCTTGTGAGTTCTAATATTTATTGAAACCTACTACCTACTCAATGGTTAAGATTATCAAATCTAATTTTTTTAAGTTTATATAACATTACTCTTCGATTAAAGAAGACTTCGTTGAGCTTTTGCTTTGTGTTCAACTACGAGAAGACCTTGAAGTCCTCGTTACCGATGACAATCTCAAAGCCCTTGTCCTGGTATTGATATATTTTTGGATCATTGTAAGTGCACGGAATAATTCCTGCAATAATTTGACACGAAACAATAGGGTCAGAAAAAAAGGGATTAGGTAAACACTCAGTTTATCCCCTCCGAAACTTAAGTCAGTCTAAGATCGAAGGGTTTAACTCAATGAACAACCTTTTTCTAGTTCAAGTTTGCGTACTTTTGTTCTTTTTTCTAAAGAGTATTTATACCCGAATTAACAATGATTACCAAAGGCCTCCAGTCCTATCTGGACATCTAACATCTAACATCTAACACACCATTCTTCGCGTAATGAGTGTTTTTCACTCACGTCTTCTCCTATTAAATGCTAGGACGATGGGATGAGTGCTCAGCTAAATGCCGAGCATTTATGCCCTTCCCCGAATACTCAAATCTCTCAGATCGGCATCTGACATCAACTGAGCATTAAATACTCGGGGGAACAGTTCCTTGGGAAGAGCCGACCGCATCATCTAGATGCATCAGCCATTAATACTTAGTCATCATGATAGTAGGCCTAGACCCTTAGAGTGTAGGCACTTACAAGCGTGCATTTATTTGTCTTGTCACCATCACTCATTCCACCTGAAGAGTATTTATACCTGAATTAACAATGATTACCAAAGGCCTCCAGTCCCATCTGGACATCTAACATCTAACATCTGACACACCATTCTTCGCGTAATGAGTGTTTTTCACTCACGTCTTCTCCTATTAAATGCTAGGACGATGGGATGAGTGCTCAGCTAAATGCCGAGCATTTATGCCCTTCCCCGAATACTCAAATCCCTCAGATCGGCATCTGACATCAACTGAGCATTAAATACTCGGGGGAACAGTTCCTTGGGAAGAGCCGACCGCATCATCTAGGTGCATCAGCCATTAATACTTAGCCATCATGATAGTAGGCCTAGACCCTTAGAGTATAGGCACTTACAAGCGCGCATTTATTTGTCTTGTTACCATCACTCATTCCACCATAAATGGAGGGTCACATCGTATTAAATATGATGTCAGTTGTCGTACTTGGCTGCTTCGGGTCACTATACCTCGGCTTATCTCCTCGGCGCCTTTTAGACATCACAACGGCTTCATTGTTTCACATGTCAATCGGGGGCTGTAAAGCCACTTAGAGTCCCGCTAACTACCCCTCAGCCGCTATCCTTTTCGCAGTGTAAGATAAGTGGCGTAAAGAGATTGGAGGCTTGACCATCACGCCTTATTAATAGTGACGATTACTTGCACGTTTGGCGCTGCCCTTTTCAAATACCTTAATGATGACCCAACTTTTCGATTTTTGCTTCCTGTAAGGTAGTATAAATAGGAGGTATTCATGCCTTCTCAGAACTTTTGCATCCTCAGCCTCTCTTCAGCAATCAGACCCCGAGCACTCCTCTGTTCTCCTCCGAGCTTCCTTTTTGAAGACCACCTTCCTTTTAGATTGCATAGTATTCAGCCGTCTAAGAGATACCATAGTCCTGCTACAACGTTTGGTAGTTATAATATTAGCGACAGCAAAGAATAATAACCAAAGTAAAGACTCTTAGGTCGAGAGAGTAAACAATGACAAAGCCATCCTTGATGAGTGCTGCCAATAAAAATGTCGGCAAAACCAATATAAAAAGGAAGGTATACATTTATTCATATCTCCTGTACATGATGAAATCTCAATAGAGGAAAAAGAACATGAATAAACGAATGGACCTAGTGAACCTTCAACAAGGAGAAAAATGCTTCTTATACTTGAACTGAATCCTACTCTCATATGACACATGGGACGGTAACTACTATACAAAAAGGATTCAGGGGAAATGCTAAAATTGAGATGAACAACCTTCAATTACATTTAGCGAAGTTGTTTGTAACAACCTCCTCACCTTAAGAGAAAACTCCACATATTGCTCCGTCAACTGTGCTAATTGCATTTTCTTGTGAAATTAACTTTTCCAGCTCCTATGTTGCATTTTCTTCTGCCCAGTAAGTTCTCATGTCCCAATCTACTTAATAAGAGAACTCATTGCCCCTGAGTGATATATACTTCCTGACCCAAATAGCAATGTCCTCTGCGCAAGCTTGGGCCTGTGGTGTCTTAAGGAGCACATCGAGTGTTGCAAACTCATGCACAGCGTCCTTGTAATCCAAAAGGGGGGCATCGACATTGACCTTTCGAAGCTCCTCTGAGTAAGCAATGGCCCTATCCCGCATCCAGTCATGTTCGGCCGCAACTGATAAAGTCGGTGGCATGTACTTCAGAGGAGTTTTTTCCCCAGGAATGAGAGGATTAGCTGCTGGGTGATCTAAATTAAATTCTTCCTCTGGTAGGAAGAGTTTCCATGCAATCATAGACATAGCTTTGTCATACAAATAAGAGTTGGCCAGCTTGATCTCAGAACGTGTAGGAATGCTCCCAATGAAGAAAGGGTACATGAGGACTTGTGCAACCACTCTTACAGGATCTAAAAGCTTGCCTGCCACCACAGCCTTTCTTGCAACATAATTTGCAATGTTTGCACCACAGCTCACTCCAAGGAGGACACACCTATGAAATGACAAAACCGAGTGAGTGACTTCCATATTGTACATCATGACAGCAAAAACAAAACCAATGCAGAACAATTAAGAAAAAGTAGGTACAATAGCAAGGAATGGAGCACTAAACTGGCGACCAGTTTATGATGTGGCTACAATAGCAATTTCCTTACGTATTTCACAAATCTATCAAATTAGTAAAGGAACACATTGAAACCTTTTTTACGTGCTTGTAACCGAAATTTTAGGCAAATAAAGTCAATGAAGCAAATTAGAAAATATGGTTTCAAACAATATACTTTTTATTATGACGCACAGTAATGTGATAGAATAATTTCTTATGGAAAAAAAATTATATCTTCCAATGAACAGTTCCAATATTTTAAGAACTCAAATGAAAAACTGTACGCATTTGGCTTCTTTAACACCTATTGTGATAACTAGACTCAACTGGACATAATATGCAGACAACATCATGTTCAGTTAGGCAAGGTGATCACAAACCTACCCTTAATATTAGCCTTGCACCTTGAGTTTTTCACACATCACCATTATCTATCTCTTCAATTTTTCCTGTACGCTAAAACTTCAATGTATATCCACTTTTTGACTCCTTTCAGGTTACTCTCTTAATTTTTGTTTTCTATCATTTCTAAGGCATACAACAGTGAAATCCACCACCATAACTTTTATCGCCAGCATGTGACATTTGATACTCCGTCTTTCTGCTACAGAGCAAAGCTCTGAAAGTTGAGAGCTGAGCAATTATTTGTTAACCCAGAGAACTTGACTCTCTTTCCACCAGCAATATCTTCACTTAACGTATAGCACCCAAATGTGTCAGCTATATTTTGCTCATCAAAAAGTTTGCTTTTAAGGGTGAATAAGAGTACTTACCAGTCCTTCTGCATCGCTTTATCTTTGTCACCAGCATTTTACCATGTTTGGAATTCATGTTACTTATTGCGTTGTTTTTACAGTTTTCTGATGTTTTTTATCCTAGTCAAGACACAACATGAGGTAAATGTGCAGATACGAAGCCATGCAAAGAAAAATATGGCTTTTCTGAGCCTCTACTTGCCTTCCATCAATCACCATGGATCATATTATAGGGGGCCACCTGAATGTATTAGGTCCTACTTGACTACGTGAATGGTAATTCACAAGAGCCATTGGATGTAAAATCACTAATTGGAGAGGAGCCGGAACCTAAAAAGAAGCCCATATAGATGATGCAAAAGCCAAATGTATGTAATGTGGTCAATCATGCCAGTGTTTTTCTTGGATCGACTACAGTTTGAATGAATGTTATAAAATTCCCATCATCATTAGCTTTTAATGTAATAGCTTAAAATATTTCATTTTAGAGATTTCTGGAAACCAGAGAGCAAATTGTTCCACAGGTTTTAGATATTTCTCCAAGGAAAACAAAAAGATATTTCTTCAAGGAGTTAGGATACTTATTAATACCCATTACCATCTCTTTCCCATCAAACTAAGAGATCCGAAGTAAAACACAAAAGCTTCCCTAATAGCAAGATCTACTGTCCAAACTCTTGACCAACATCCGAAACACAATACCACAACATTTGATACTTTTGCCATTATTATCTACCCTCAAACGAAGCAAGTGTACACATCAGGGAGGCAATTGAGGCAGTGGTGCTAGCACGTGGCAATTGACGGGAAAGAATCTAATGGAATGACAGAGAAGGCATGATAGCAGTGGGCTGGAAAAATGAAACTGAGATGTCAGTGATATGAAGACTGGCAAATAAAGATTTCAGGGGCCTGGCAGACAAAGGTTTCAGGGGATAATTGGCAACATGAAAAACGGCTGGTCAGAGACAGTAATTGTGACTTGTAAGACATTGGTGGCAGAATAAGAAGTGGCACAAGATGGGAATGACAATGGATGGGGTCAAAAGGAACAGGAATGAACCCTAGATTACAATAATCAATTCAATTGTAAATTACAGCTCCTATTTCTACTATAATCTGGTTACTTTCTTTATGTAATGGTAGGATCTAATTCCTGACAAAATTTGCATTCAAAAACTTGAAATCCATTTCCTGACTCAATTTTTACGGCTCAATAACAAGATGCCAAATAACCTTGATGTCGTTTGGAACTGCTTATTCATGTAGGACTAAGGACGAGATTAATCACTACTGAGTACAGACAAACATACAAAGGGGCCTTCTATGCCTGTCGGGAAGGATTCCGAAAGTATTTAGTTCCAGTTAAATGTAACTCCAAAAACATTACACCTGGCTGGCTAAACTGTATTATTAATCGCATCCTAGAAATATACTCACAAAGCAAGAATAGACTTAAATTTAAATGACCATTTTCCACCATATGCCAAGTGAAATAGTTAAATGATAGCAAATGCAAAATGACCACTTAAGAGATGAGAAAAAACTCCACCAGGAAGGAAGACTCTCCATGTGGAAAAGAAAGAAAATCCATGTAGTTGTTTGTTAATAAAACACACAATATTATTACCACTGTTTGAATGCTTTAGCCAAGCATTGTCCATAAAGTATTTTCTTTCACTAGTAATGCAGGTAAGACAACTTGAGGGAATCCAGCAGTAGTTAATATGACTGTATTATTACCAATACACAACATCTTTAGCATTTAACTAGGATTGCTACTATTCCCACAGAATTGTTCAACTACCAGAACATGCACATGATTTATATATACAAGAATTTAGAATGTAATGACTGAAGTAATGCACATCAATGCACTCCAGAGTGGAAAAGACTTTGCAGCAAGATAGACACTGTATGTCACATTAACCTAGCTCATTCAACAACTGTTTCACTGAGAAACATCAGTTTTTATCTGGTTTGTTAAGTTCTTCACCAATGAAGTCATAAACATCGTTACATCTCCCAACCAATAACCATGAAAAATGGCTCACCATATAAAACTCACTCAACACAGATACAAATAAACATGAATGGAAGAGTATCAGACTTCATACCTTGAAGGATCACCATGAGCAGCCAGCCAAGGCTCAACCATTGAAGCCCCAAACCCATCAACAATTTGCCTCCGCCTAACATCTCCACCACCACCGGTCCTCCCATTCCCAAAAGACTTACTACACTCCGCCAAATTTGCCTGCTTCCCCAACCAATTCAGCACCTTTAACCCATCCTCAAACGCGGCCGGATACCTATTTTCCGGTGCCAATCTATACCCAACTGCCACAACAACCGCATCACACAACTTTGCAATTCTCCGACAAAACAAATCATTCGCCACCGAGTCATTACTACCACTAACCCACCCTCCCCCATGAAATTGCAAAATCACCGGCAATTTCCTACAATTCTTATTAATTTCCGGAGAATAACCCCTATAAGCCCCATTATCCAATTTCAATTTATCTGCATCTGTAGACGAAGATCTTGTCGACGTATTTGTTGAAGCCCTAACTCTATGCTTGGGGACTGAATTTAAAGAAATAAGGGCGGATTCTGGGAGGAAAATACGAAGGGAAAGAGAAGTTACAGGGTCAATGTGGATATCTTTGGTGGCCACTCCGTCGTTGGAAAAAGTAGGATTGGCGGCGGCTACAGCTTCATCGGACCTTGAAACTACACCGTATGGATTAGTATCTCCAAGAGACGCTTCGATTAGGGTCTGTAAGCGGCGTTTTAGAAGGAATTTGAAGAGTACACTATAAAGCTTTACCGTTACGCTAGGCATTTCGATATATAGAAAGAAAGAAAGATACCCAGATTTTCGTATATATGAGAAAAGCAAAGAAAGATTTGTGTAAATGTTTATAAAATTGAGAGAGAGAGAGAGAGAGGGGGGGGGGCTTTAGGAGAAGGAATTGGATTAGGGTTTTTGAAATTGGGGGAGAGAGAGGAGGAAGAGACTGATTCAATTCAAATTCAAGGGCTTCTAGCCTTCTAGACAGAGGAGAAGTGTTCTATTTGTTTTGAATTTTCTCAATATATATGTGTGTGATTAAATTTAGCAATGCTGACGTGGAGAGAAGTAGGTCCTACTCGGACATGTGGGGCATATTAAGGTCGTCAGCTGGGAAAAAGCAAGATTATATACTCCTGAGGTATATGGCTACTTTGGACTTGACAGGCTGAGTATTGTTCGATTGTGTGAAATCGTACTCTCTTCATCATCACGGAATGGGAAGAAGGGTGTACGTGGATGTCGTAGAATGTGTAGCAGGATATTATTTTATGCCTTCTTACGACGGAATTAAGTTTTAACGTACGCGCTGATGGGGCCAAATGTTAGAAGAATCACGCGTCAGGTATGAGGTAACAACGTTTGATTTGACTACTCTGAGAAAGCTGCATTTTTTGGACTTTTTGTTCAACTCGGACCGACTCCAACGTACCAAGAACTGACCGAAGAACCCAATTCATCTCTAGTTGCCCGTTAATTGAACTGAGTTAACCAAGTTTAACTTGGATTCGATTCATTCAAGTTTAGTTCATTTTTTAAGTGAGTTCGAACTTAAACAAATTTTTATATTTGTTTAAAAAATAAGTTTTACAAGTTCGACTCGTTTATATGCAAATACTCGGACTCGGCTCGGGCTCGACTCGGGTTCGACTAATTCAGACTCGGTTCGTTTCCTAAATAAGCTGAATTTGAACAATTTTAAAAATTTAATTAAGAAACAAAGTTTTTAACCTCAGCTCGGACTCAACTCAAGCTTGCTCGACTAACAGCCCTACCTCCCATGTTTCATATAAGCCAATCCCATTGGCCTAGGACGGTTTTGGGAGTATGGTTGTAATATAAGCTTTGGGCACACAACCAACTATTTGCAATAAGGGTTTTTTAAAAGTTGATACACTTAATTAGACTTATTTGATAAAAAATACATAAAATAAAATATGAGTTAAAAAGACATAAATGCCCATTTTAGGGTCATTTAACTCAAAATCCCTTATTTTTAATACACATTGATTCATGTGTGTTTATTAATACATATAAATACATATTTAATGCACATTTGATTTATGTACATTTGTTAAAATATATATATTTATTTATACACACAGACACACACATATGCGAATATATATACTTATTCACACACACACACACACACACACACACACACATATATATATATATATGTTGTTAAATCTCTTATTTAAATTTTGAATTATCTTTAATGCACCTTGATTCATGCGTTTTTTTTTTTGAAAAGTGATTTTGTTTTCAAATTATATTTAATGCATCTTGATTCAAGCGTTTTTTTAAAAAAATAGTTTTATTTTTAAATTAATTTAATATCTGAATAATGTAATAGTATAACAATAACAATATAATAATAACAGTGTAACAAATACACTATAACAAAGACAGTGTAATAAATACACTGTAACAAAAACAATGTTCAGTAGTTTTGTGTATATGGTAACAAATTCAAAACGGAGATGAACTATTTTGAATAAAATTATATAAAACTATATGTTTAACAAAATGTAATAGTACAATATTTTGTGTAAATAGTTTGTTACACTATTATTGTTATTAGTGTTATATTGTTACACTGTTATTGTTACACTATTACACTATTCGGATATTAAATTAATTNATTAGTGTTATATTGTTACACTTTTATTGTTACACTGTTATTGTTACACTATTACACTATTCGGATATTAAATTAATTTAAAAATAAAGTCACTTTCTTAAAANGCCACTTTCTTAAAAAAAATGCATGAATCAAGATGCATTAAAAGATAATTCAAAATTTAGATAAGAGANGTCACTTTCTTAAAAAAAATGCATGAATCAAAGATGCATTAAAAGATAATTCAAAATTTATATAAGAGATTTAAAAATAAGTATATGTGTGTGTGTGTGTGTGTGTGTGTATGTGTGTGTGTATTAAAGTTCTCCCATAAAATTAGAAGATGTTTAATGCACCATTTTGCAAAGAAAAATAGTGCATTAAATACACATGAATTAACAGAGGATANTAAGTATATATATATGTGTGCGTGTGTGTGTGTGTATGTGTGTGTGTGTGTATTAAAGTTCTCTCATAAAATTAGAAGATGTTTAATGCACCATTTTGCAAAGAAAAATAGTGCATTAAATACACATGAATTAACAGAGGATAAAAATGTCATAATAAAAATAGATAAATTCAAATTATGTACTTGGATACAAATAAGTATCAAAATTAAGTATTTAATAACCTTATATTTTTTAGTATATATTTTTTACCAAATAAATTTAATTTGGTGTACCCCTTACAATTTACGCTNATACTTGGATACAAGTAAGTATCAAAATTAAGTATTTAATAACCTTATATTTTTTAGTGTATATTTTTTTACCAAATAAATTTAATTTGGTGTCCCCTTACAATTTACGCTCGTAATAAAGCTGGATGTGTTGGGCCCAATTTAACATCTTCTACAAAACGTTAAAATGTGAGCAATTCTGNTTATATTTTTTAGTATATATTTTTTACCAAATAAATTTAATTTGGTGTACCCCTTACAATTTACGCTCGTAATAAAGCTAGATGTGTTGGGCCCAATTTAACATCTTCTACAAAACGTTAAAATGTGAGCAATTCTGATTCTGTAGTTCACTGACTTGATACATTCTTGCCTAAGGCATGACAAATGACCCTTTACATTGTGGGTTTTCGCCACCCTGGTGACTAACCAGGCCATGGGTCTTCCAATCCGTCACTCGGTGGGTTTGAGGATTGTACGATAGCCCAACATATGATGTAATGGGCCCATGTCTGAAGATTCTACTTGCTAGGCTTGTCCCAATGAAGATGGTCAGTTAGATAGCTAAGCCCGTGGCCCATTTCAGTGGTCCAATAAAAAATCGAGAAATTAAAAGGTTTTTTTAGGTGTCGGTATATTTTTTTTAGACTTAATTTAAGAGAAAGTATATAGATAAATATTTTACTTTATCAAGTTCAATTTTAATAAAATATCTTGTTATTAGGTACAAAATTCAAATAACAATTGAATTTTTTTACTTACTTATTATTTTTTAAATTATACATAATTTTTATTCTGTCCATCTTTCTATCTCTCCTATTTTCTTTCTATCTCTCTCCCTCTCTCCATTACTCTTTAACTATCTCTCCTTATTCTCTCCATCTCTCTCTATTACTCTTTTTGTCTCTCTCCTATTTTTTCTCTTTATTTCTCTGTGATAATTTTTTTTAAATATATAAATATTTGATTTGATTTTNTTCTCTTTCCCTCTCTCCATTACTCTTTAACTATCTCTCCTTATTCTCTCCATCTCTCTCTATTACTCTTTTTGTCTCTCTCCTATTTTTTCTCTTTATTTCTCTGTGATAATTTTTTTTAAATATATAAATATTTGATTTGATTTTTTCATTTTTCTCTCACTCTCTTCACCTATTTTTTCTCACTGTTGTTCTCTTTCTTATTTTCTCTCTCTTTATATCAACATTACAACAAATACNATGTGATAATTTTTTTTAAATATATAAATATTTGATTTGATTTTTTCATTTTTCTCTCACTCTCTCCACCTATTTTTTCTCACTGTTGTTCTCTTTCTTATTTTCTCTCTCTTTATATCAACATTACAACAAATACAATTACACTAATTAGTTACACCAATCAATTATAATTGCTCAATAATACACCAAACAATTACTCACTTATTCTAATAAACTAAACAGGTAGACTAAATAATTACACAAAATTATGATACTAATTCAATTTGTCATTCAGTTGTTTATATAAATTAAAGAGTTGCACTATTTAGTATCACGACATAATTACACCAATTATATACATTAAATTTAGTATATAATTGGTGTAATTATGTCGTGATACTAAATGATGCAACTCTTTGATTTATGTAAACAATTGAATGACAAATTAGATTGGTGTTGTAATTTCGTATAATTGTTTAGTGTGACCGTTTCGTTTATTAAAACACATAATTAATTATTTGGTTTATTATAGAGTAATTGTAACTAATTGGTGTAACTGATTTGTGTAATTGTATTGTTGTAATGTTGATATAAGAAGAGGAAAAGAGAATAAGGAGAGAAATAGTAACGGTGAGAAAAAATAGGGGGAGAGAGATATAAAAAAATTAAATTAAAAAAAAATTATTAATGTGAGAGAGAGAGAGATATAGAGAGAAAATAGGGAAAAGAGAGTGAAAGAGTACTAGAGAGAGAGTAATTGAATAACAAATGGTCTTTTAGTCTTTTTTTTTTATAAAAAAAATGCACTTAGGGTCAAATAAGTTCCCTTAATGTAGTTTAACTCAATTAAGTCTAAATTTTTGTACAGACTTCCAAATTCTCTAATTTAAAAATGAAATATTTAGGTCTATTAGAGATGGTCCTTCGCCTAGCATGGGTCATATAGATTTTTCTTTTATGACAGGGCCAATTTACATGCCCGACATATTGTTGACTCTTAGTCTTCCTTTATTTAGGCTTAACAATCCTACACATGATTCGTGAAATTGACACGAACTCTACTTAGATTTAGTGAGTTTGAGTGTAGTTTTAATAGATTCGAATGATTAACGGATTAACTCAGTAAATCAATGAAATAAATGAACCAGTTTTGTGTTTAACTCATAAACTCGTTTCAACNGTTAATGGATTAACTCAGTAAACCAATGAAATAAATGAACCAGTTTTGTGTTTAACTCATAAACTCGTTTCAACTTGTTTAACTCATTAACTGTGGCACTATAAATTTCAAAAAAAAAAAAAAATTTGGGTCTTTCAGGTTTTGCCTTATCTCCCGCCTCTCATCTCTCAGATTCATTCGAATTTGGTATTAAATTATAGCTTATTTTTTATTTTTACTTTTTCGCTCAACCGTGATTTATTGTTATAATAAATAGGTCAAACATGTGTAATGTGTGACAAATCA